AAGAAGCATCTATTTGAATAATTTAATTCTAAATTATTGATAGTTTCATTATTGAAACCTGTCCCTTTTTCAATTTTATCAATCCAGATGTGTTTTATGTTTTCTTCTATACTAGGGAATAGTTTGTGATATAAAGCCGAGTTTAAAAAAAAGGTTTTTTAACCAAGAAGTATTGGACTTATTTGGGAATAACAAACAAACACATTACAAGTTGATGTTGCCAGAACTTTATGAATTTTTGTGTTTTGTGGCTTTAATTTCGAATCTAACTCCAGTCAGGAGACTAAATAAATTGCAGAAAATGCTTGATACTATTTGTAGTTATTATTATGTATACCAAAGAATCACATACATTTTTGGACATTTTAAGTCAATTCACAAAATAGTTTTCATCACTATAAAAAATGTATTTTACAAATATATAAATACCTAAGCCAAGAAGTCAGGAAAATACAAAAACATTTCCCTAAATGATTAAAAATATCAACGATGAACTGCTTTACAAAATTTGAATGAGATATTGTGTGTTAGAATTTTTAAATCAATGTTTAATTTAAAAAAAATCATACTAGAGTGCACATGTCAGGTGTGCAACAAAATAAGGTAAAATAGAATTGCTTTAAAATCTAGTATTTTTATAAGAAAACTTACTTCATCAAACTTCTTTTTTGCGCTTAGAAATGATTTAAACATATAATGTTGTGTCATTTGCTGACCTGGCTATTTATTATTATTATTTTAATACGACTATTACTACTATTTTCATTAATCTACATGTATGTGTCATTCTCCATATAATCTATAAATACTGTTAACATGGGTTTATATGTATGTATATGATACAGATTTATAAGGATTGACCGTCCATTTTCAGCTCTTTTGTTATAATCTTGTAATACTGCTATAAGACGTATGTCTTCTGCAATAAAGAAATTGAATTGAAATTGAATTGAAGAATTGACTAAATTCACAAAAAAGTAATTTTTGAGAAATTTTTGAATAAGATTTCTTTCCTATTTCTATTATAACTTTTCAAACCAGAATTGAAACAACTAATGTTAAATAACAATCAAAAAGCCAAGAAGAAACACAGTCAAGGTTTAGATCTTATCATTTGTATCCCTGACACAAGTCTAGAAGATGAAAAAAAATATACAATTCCCTTTATGTATTTCAGAAAGTCTTTTAGAATACATGTTTTGTAATATTTTCTTTTTCAAATGAAGTTCTACTAATAAAAAAATCTGAAACTTTTTAATGCATTTGTCAATTTTATTGTCACTTCGGAAATTTTAACTTGAATGTATATACAGTATGACGTTATGAATTGAAAATTATGTTAGGGTAAGTTGAATTTTTTCAAAAAATTTAATTTGCTGGTCATTATTTTTGAATTCACCCACATACCATTTCATGCTATAAGACGAATTATCCAGTAGGCGAGAAGAGCTTTGACGCTGTTCATGGAGATAAAGGAAAATAAAGACAAACATGCCATATATGGTTGTGTAGATAAATTAATGTAGAAGAGAATGCTAAACAATTTACCAGTGCATTTCTCTGAAAATGAATATGACTGTGATTCGGGGGAAGGGGGTGGTGGTGATGGTAGGGGTAATGTACTTTGTTTATTAAGTCATTATTTTCCAGTCAGTATATATATATATATATATATATATATATATATATATATATATATATATATATATATATATATATATATATATATATATATATATTCAGCAGTGAAATACTGTGCTTTATTTATTGAATAAAAGTGATAATCTGTCACAGTGTGAAAGGATACCAACGTGATATCCATGCTAAGCTTCACAGTCTGTGTTAAGAAAAGACAGGGGCAATGGGAAATCAAAGAAAATGTAATAAACAGAAAATTCAATGTTTTGTAGTTGGATATGGAATTTATTTCACTCTTGAGACAGTGCTTCGCACTCGTGAAAATATCACATAATCCTGTCCCACTCGTGAAATAAAATAAATATCCAACTACAAAACATTGAATATCCTCTATATAGCTTTGTAATTTTTTACCTTGATAGTTATACTTAATGCATACAAATCTAGATCTAGACAGTAATACAAAACATATGTATGCGAAAGTAAGTGTTTGGCTCTATAAATGATCCATACCTGGGAAACTAAAGGCAAGAGGCAAGTTACTCTATTACGCACATAAACAAACATGCATGAGATTTAGCATAAATTTTTATATGAGCATGAAATATATGAAGATAACGAACAGTATTCAGGCTCAAAAGTCCATCAAACAATACAAAACAGGAGCAGAGCAAACACGGACCTCTAAACATCAGAGGTGGGATCAGGTGCCATGGAGGAGTGAGCATCCCCTGTCGACCGGCCACACCCGCCGTGTGCTCCTTGTCATGATCGGGAAATAACGGAAAAATCCGTCGACAATTCAGTGTGTAAATAATGGCCTAACAATTTGTATGAAAAACGTCAGTCAGCATTTGACTCAATGATAAATTGTATTTGCTGACAAGGTCATTGTATCGACCATAGAACTTACGAAATGATGACTTTAAACGAGACAGCTGATATTCTTGTTTCATCAACTTGTTTGTCAATAATTTACCTCGATTTAGAAATTGTACATACGTAGAGCATGCTCTTGCGTATCGAATCAACTGAGAGCATGTAGCCCATGTGCCTCTCTGTTGTTAGTTATATACCATAATGATTCTAAAATAAAAGAATTTCTAATGAAGCATAAATTCCGTTCAAAAAGCAGTTTTGCGAGAAAGCTATGTGTGTGTGTGTGTGTGCGTGTGTGTGTGTGTGTGTGTGTGTGTGTTCGTAAATAGGAGGAGTTAAATTGTCGGCCCCCAATTCAAAATCTTATTGCACACCTACAGTATACCAGTAATTCCAAAATATGATTTGGGTACAACACAAAATGTAAAAGGAGTTTTGTAAACATTTTAATAGCTTTTTAATAGGTTTTTTGGCTCCAATTACATGTATTCTCCTGTGTGGTATTTCACGTGTAATATTACTTTAAGAGCAGTTTTTTACGATCCTTATTTTTATCAAATGATCGACGTTTTCCATTTCATTATACGCATAATGAGAGAAAATACATATTATTGCTATGTTAAGGTTCTACTGAAGGCAATATTTGTTTGTAGAAACAGTTTTAACAATAGGGCCAAATTTTACAGGACTAAAATATTTATATCTATATAAACACCAGAATTGACAAATGGCCGCCTCCTTTCAGTGCATGATGATCAAGTCAGATTTTTGTCTGCTTTATCAAAATAGGCGAATTACAAGAAGTTTGAATGCAAGCATGCACTTCATATACGTGAAATGATTTGAATATCATCTTGCCACTAAATACACGTGGATTAAAGAGATAGATTTTTTGAAAAATTCAACTCAAAATAAGTTAAGTTGTACATAGAATACCTCTTACTCTTTAAAAAAAAATGATTTGTCAGCTTCATAACTATAATAAAATTTGGCCAAATTAAATCTGTTTCTACTCAATAAAAATTGTCTTTAGTTGAACCTTGAGAGATAAAATACTAGTAAAATATAATAGGAAAAACTCTTTTCTGTGTGAAGGCAGTCACGATGCTGCTACGATTCTCATACATCGAACATGGTTTTTCCGCGTCCCAGACACGAGCCACGTCCTGCATATTAATAGTACTTCCCAGCACGACCCTACCTGATTATGCAACGCTTCGAGCTCGTTAATGCGCGATCTGCATACATGTACGATCACGTCAAGATGAAAGATTGTACCACGCTGCATTACGCTACTACCACGAGTATCTCATTTTACATTTTAATTGTATGGAGTTGAACATGAATTATTTATTTAGTAATTCATTTTTCCACCGTGATATTTTTTAAAAAGCTTTTTTTTTAAAAAAATCTTTCATCCAGTAGAGTAAATAACTATAGCTGCAAACCTCTGAATTATGTTTCCATTCTTTTCCCACCAAAACCCGTATATAGTATTTGCCATACATCCTCAAGCATTCACATTTTATTTAAAAATGAGCATATAATTTTTTATGAAGGAATGTCGACGCTTGAAAGAGAATCGCAGAAAGTAAATATGGATGAATTTAAAGAAATCAAGAATATCTTTAATTATGATGTAAACACGCAGATTAAAATCGTCGAATAAAAAAAGAAGGGTTGATTACAGTATATATTGATATAAATTGACCTCTAACTTTGTGTTTGTAGTTGACCTTCGATCTAAATAATATTATTGTGCCTAAATTTCACTCATACTTGTACATCAAATCCTTAATGAATTAAATTTTTACTTAAAATAGTTTGTACAATAATTACCCTTGAAATGATCAGCAACGAAATGATTCCCAACACAAATTAACTTTATATGAACATGTAGTTTTAAAATCTAATTTCGACAAATTTAAACTTTTTGTCTCTTGAAGGAAAAAGAAACAGACCTGAACTGACCGCAATATTCATACACTGTAGTTGCGTTGTTGGTCGTCACATGGAGCCACGTCGTGAGAATGTATCGTGGTCCTCATGGTTGTAATGAAAACAGTCAGGAAACGTAATACATGTAGCGTCAATGCATGGCTATCGTAATGACGCATTTGGCGTTTACAAGTCGTAGTCAAGCGTGAAAAGTCTGATCGTGAGGCCTGCGTACTCAGTGATTCAAACTCACACAAAAACACGGACCCCGGGATACCAGAGGTAGGATCAAGTGACTAGGAGTAAGCATCTTCTGTCAACCGGTCATTCCCGCCGTTAGCGCCCTCTATTGATCAGGTGAACGGACTAGTCAGAATTAGTATTTATAAAACATGTTACTCTATATACGACCCAACGATTCGTATTTTTATTTGCACACAAGGTCATTATAATCACCACTGAATTTGCACAGTTACTTAATTACTCGGTGTCTTCTATCTTAAATACATGTACAAAGTATAGTACCAACCAACAGAAAGAGAGGCTATTTTTGTTTAACATTTATTCTCAAATTGGAAAAAATCAGAGATCATACACATGATAACGATATTCTATATCTAATTTTAGATCTCTAAATTCCATGAAACAAAGCTACACAATATATTGAAAGCACAAGATAGAGAGAAAATAGTTACATAAAATCCGGATAACCTAAGAAGAATTTCGCAACATTTACTAATAACAAAAAACCAGAGAGACGGGAATTTTAAGAACTTCTGAATTCGAATGGTTGGTTCAAAGATTCGTTGTTTGTTAAGTTGATTATATATAACAGACAAATTGAAAATATACCACATTTTTACAAAGCCGAAACATCTGAATCACAAAAAGAACAATATTGACAAAATTCTCCTTGATTATCTAAATATTAAAAATCCATGTGTTCACAAATAAAGACAAGGAAAAAGTCATAATATTGCGAAATAAATCTTAAAATTCTGTGTCACGTGTATATGATAAACAAAGCAAGCAAACATTCCGCTATCTCTAACGAATCATGTCACAGCACATCAAGGGAAGTGAATCAGTGGACGAAAAAAAAAAAATCCAGGTTTTCTTGGATGTTTTATTTTAGCAGAGATGACAGAAGACCGATCAGTGTATTGAAATCCAAGGAATAAAATTATTTAAAGATGGGCTTGTACAACTTTTTGAATTTTAATGACTTTGTTGTATCTATTCAACTATGAAACAAATTATAGTGTCCAGTTGTATAGGTATGTAGTATAGAATTTCTTGGAAGTTGCAAAAAAAAAAAAAAAAAAAAAGGAATTCTTTCCCAGTGGATTTCGCTTATAAAATCATTCCGTGGTATACTTCAGATATATATCTCGAAATCTATTCAAAAAAATAAAAAAATAAATAAAAATAAAAGGGAAGTGAATTTCGTCGTAGTCATATCGTGCAATATGGGGGATTTTATCTTTGACAATCTCTTTATTGTTTCTGGTGTCAACGGGTTTAGGGCATAATGAAATCGTGAATTTTATTTTCTATAGTTCCGTTTCCTCCTACTCTTCATTTTAATCTGAAATATCTGGAAAATGAAATTCCAAAAGAAGAATCAAATATCTTAACATAGTTCCCACGCACTAAAAATCTTGCCATATTTTTATTTTTTTACCATGAAAATGAGTGAATTTTGACCTACGAATTTCAAGTCTCATTACCAATTATATATGTTTCTATACTTGTTTCTTTGGATAATATTAAGACATTTCTTGGACTTTGGCAAAATGGATAAAATTCTACAGATTAACAAAATCGTTAAAAGATCAAGTATTGTGACAAAGTACAATTACATTAAGACAAATTTTAAAATAAACACTTCAGTCTTATAACGAGTTTAAGCACTTGTAACAACAAAATCTCAATGTGTATTATCATACAACTGCAAACATACAAAGTGGGGGGAAGTGATATCGTTATTATCATACAAATATGTTAATAACAGAGATCATACTCGCAATTATAATATTAATTATGTTATTGTTTGAAGTTTAAAAAAAATAGATACAAGCAATCATAGCCTATCCACGCATGACAGCCTTTACGTATGTTGGAAAAATGATATGTTGCCTTTTGACAAAGGAAAATTCAATTGCAATTTTACCCTGTCACTGTGACATTTTCAACAACTAAAATTTGGGTGGTAGTCATTAAAAATCAACAAGCTGGTGCCGCCGTGATGTTGACAACAGTGATTAGTGTCTTTCTAAAAATAGCATCTTACAATATACCAATATTCTTTTTACGCTAGAAAATTTCTAAAATTCCTCAATTTATCCAAATAAGTTTTTCTTCTAGGATCTTCAAGACGCATTGTTTTTAATACTCCTTGTCCGTGGTTTTCAGCATCTTACAGACAATCGATACTACTTATTTCTATTAAATTAATTAAAAACAATGTTAAAAATATATCTTGGGGTGGGTGGGGGAGGAGACTTAAAAAATTGTATGGTTGCAGAAGTACAGATTATGCATAATGGAACAACCCCTATCATGTAAGCATATTGCAGTGCATAAGAAATAATATAATTGGATTCAAATCTAATTAATAAACACAATCTTAATTATATGCACAACACTGATTAAACATTGCAGTTTTAATGATACTTAATATAGCACCTATATCCATTAGTGTTCAAAACGCCACAAACATGATGATTGGCAACCTTTTTAGTTCAAATTTTAAGAAACATTAATATTTCCAGAAAAAAAATATATACATGTACTTTGATATTTCAGTCTTCAAAAATGAGCTCTGATTCCTCATCATGGCAGGAGAAAAGAAACGGAAATGTTATTTGCAGAGAGATGATAAAAGAAAAAGGTTCATATAATAGGTTTTTGTTTCATGGTCATGGAATAATAGAGAAATCGGTACATATTCCACAGGAGAAGAAAAAACAGCAATTACATGTAGTTCTGGCTTACATTGCCTGATAAAGTTATGCAGTACCATGTCAAATATGTTACAATTATGACAGAATTTTAAGCAACCTTTCAATAATTGAAACAAAGTAATTAATAAAACACAGTATAACTTCCGCCATTAATCAGTACACGTGGCATTAAAAAAAAACAAAGTTTTAATGTGAACTACTTAACACTGTTCCGTTTCAAAAGACCCAGAATCTTTACCGAGAAAAAAAAATAACAGAGAAGTGATAAAAGGGCAATTTTGTAGAATATTTTGTTCACGTTTTAAGCATAACGGAATTGTACTTCTTTAAGTTTTAAAAACGTTTAAGCTAACCCATTAAGGTAGTGGTCATTTCTTAATTAATTAGTGTTTTGAGGAATGTCTGCTATTACGAAAAGTTTACTATAATCATATTGATTAAAAAAAATCAAGTCAGTAACTATCGTTGCATATTCATAAAATTGCAATGTCATACAAATAAAGTCCACGGTGTAAAACACCGGCATATCTTCATATATGATTCTATCACACAATATTATGCTGAAAAGGAAAAAAATAATTAACAAGAATATTGGCAGTAAATACTGACTTTTTGGATGAAGCGCCGCAACAGCGATATAACTTAATGCTTTAAGCATTTCGTAGTAAGACAAACAAATACTATAGAAAATCTCGTGGTTTTTACATGTACAAGGTTCAATGTTGTCCTCAATTTTTATTCCATATTCTGATATTTGATACCAGTGAATATAGGGTCAGTTCAACGACCCTGCTTATGGCACCAGTATTTCCTCTGCATTGTCATATACTATTTTGAGGGAAAAAAAGATATTGTTACGTCAATATATTTTTTCATGAAATAGCATTATGCCAACACAGTGGACAGATTTTTTTTGGGTGTCATTAATTTGATGGTTAAAAACAATGTTCTAAAAAAGACAATCAATGCTAGCCCAGGCAAATAAGTATAGATACAATGGTCTTACCAATACATACAAGTAAACTATATATAAGGATTATATATATTTCTAACAATACACTATATCAAAAAGATTTGGATATAAGGCGTTTTACGCCACATATTTAGCATATTCACTACCTGGACAAAGATTTACACAAAAGTAAAACATTAAGACATCTTTGATAACAACCATTTGAAAAAAAAATGTATGGGATAAAATGTTACGCACACCATTTCCAAAAACAAGCATGTAATGATTTTTCTAACTATTGGCTACAGATAAAAGCGATTTTACAGGGCATTCCAACAAAGGGGTATGTAACATAACGTGAAGAACTCCGTTTTCTGACAATCATTCAGCTTGGTCTTTAGCATGTTACAAACCTCTATGTCTATAAAACGGTATTAAAAGATGGAGTGTGAAAAAGTGTGTGTATTTACAGATTGTGTATGTAGGTGATATAGAAAAATATCACCTTATATATTGAGAGACATAACTGCTCTTGGAGCCAACGGAAAACAGGACAAAAATGTACTCAAAAAGCTGACCAGATTGTCCCAAACATCACCGGTTCTTAGCGTGAACACTTTAAAAAGCATGACGACAATTTCCAGGACCAACACAAATACTGACGTAGAACACATATTTAAGGTACTTTGACCAAAACCCTTCTGTACCAGAAGTAAGTACATGTATAAGCAAGACCAAACAAATAAAAATCAGGTTTAGATGCTGAATCATCAAAGGCACAAACAAAGTTAACAACATCATAATTCATACTTTAAAAAGACTAACGGAGTTTGCATATTAAAATAGACTGCCGAAACGCTGACCTTTTCCGTAAGATACTTCTTAGAAGAATACACAATGGGTAATTCTTTTAATTGTTTTTTTTTCGTTAAAATTTGCTATGACCCATGTTGGAAAGGGTAGAAAATAATCTGATCTTCCTAAATAAAACAATTTGGTAAAGTATTTCAAAAAAAAAAACCCTCATCCCCACAAAAGTTAAGTGTGTTTTTAAAATAAGCAAAACTCCAAACACAGCTACTTAAGTGATGTAAAAATTCAAACCAAAAGAGAAAGGTAAGTTACAGAGGAAGAATGGGCATTTTTAAAGGAATACACCATTTCCATTGAACAAAACCATTACAACGCAAATTATGTGTACACAACAACTGACTCGACTTTTGAACTAGTTCTTTGGTATTGGTAGATGCTAAACTTTGAACAATAAACAAATTTTACAACAAACTAGTATACTATTACAATATTACATTTTGGTAAATTTTGTGAATTTTGAAATAGAAAAAATCTAAATGTGAAAAAATAATTTCACTACAACTGCAATACTGTCCAATACAAGAATAATGCGAAACTGATGAGGAAAAATCTGTCTGCTACATGTTGTGCGGTGGTGGGGGTACCGTTTGCGTTTCAGGGCCAGGATAATTGGAATTTTGTTTCATAACTGCCTCTAGCTTTCTCTCTAAAAATGCAACTCTTTCTTTTAAATAATGATTTTCATACTCAAGTTCCAAAGCACGCTTATAGAAATTCCTTTCCTTCTCCTTCTTGGCCTCTCGCGACCTTCGGGCTGAATCATTGTTTTTCTTTCTCTTTTCCCAATAGCTTGGGTCCTTCATATCGGAAGGGACCGTGGACTTTTTCCTCTTGCAGATGAGTTTCCTTGGCTTGTAACCGGCCACGGTAACCCCGCTTGTTATCATCTGATCCACGTTGATATCTGATGTCGGACTACTTCCGGTCCAGTCTGGAAGCGTTGTGGGTTGACTGTCGCTTGTTTTAGAGTCGCTATCAGACTCCACATAGTCACCAAGTAACTTCCGCTCGGAGTCCATACTCGGACTTAACTTATGGGGAGTCCGATCTCGCATTTTGAAAGACGGTGGTGAATAGGGGCCCTCTTTTAAAGAAACGGGTTTTCCATTGCCACTTCGTATTGGTTCAAATAAATTTGGTTGAGTGTTCATCGCACAGTTGTTCCATTTGCTTTCCTCGGTTTCAGCCTTTAGGGCTATGTTAGTGTCAGGGTACTGTTCGTTGGAATAGTTTCCATATCTTTTGCGAAACTGATCTTGTGGGGGCTTAAAATGACTATTCCCATAATTTTGTCCATACGTATTATTTCCGTTTATGCTGCCGTTCGAGACTGGGTTAAAGCCGTTGTGTTGTGAAACATGTTGAAAGCCTCCACTGTGGTGAAAATCAGCAGGCGTCTGTTGCCCAGGTAATGGCCAACAATCAATGCTGTTTGGTGCAAATCCATCCTTCTCCATCTTGACGATTTGCGAAGATTGTGTCGATCCCGGAAAACTTTCAGAGGGCCAGAAGGAAGGAAGGTCGCACGCTGTGTCCATTAGCAAAGCACCGGCCATTAGTTTTGAAATACTAGTACCGCTATCCTCAAACTGTGATGTTGACATACCTAAAAGGGAAAACAGCAAGGAAATATTAAAATGTATTATATAATTAATTAAAGATCAAAGATGCTGATAAGGACCGATATAGCAATCCCGTACAAGAATCAAAATGGCACAGCCGATGGGTGTAATGAGGGTCGAAAATAATAATAATAATAATAATAATAAAAAGATGGGTGTAATGTGGGTCGAAAATTAAAAAAAAAGAAACATCATGACCAGTAAGAATTTAAAAAGTGAAATAAAAATTAAAAAAAAAAAACGTACAAAAAAACCCAACAAATAAACAGACAAAAAAAAAAAAAAAGAAAGAAAGAAACAAACAAACAAACAAAACAAATTCAAACAAACAACAAATATAGAACAAAATTGTCTCGTTTGTGTCAAGTTTTTTTAAAATTATTATTCTATTTTAATTCATAATCCTCTTAGATTAATTCAGTTTTATAAAACAAGAATAAATTGTTTAATTCCCGGTTGTGATTAAGTTTTAATAGTGACAAAAAAATAAAATTAAAAATATGACCTCTTAATTAACTTCATTTTAACTTATGTGTATTTCTTAGTTAAAGATGTCGTAAGACAACAATTAAAGAACATATAATTTGAGGCACTAAAGTCTCTACATGCACATTTAAATCCCCCTCCCCCAGCACCACAGTGTGACATAATGAAAAAATAAAATAAAAAAACCGGTTATATTAATACTTACAAAAGGGGACGTTATGAGTATCAGTATAATTAGCTGTATAGCAGAAGAATTGTCACGGTACAGAAGTTTCATTTCCCTAAGCATAGCAGGAAAAATGTCATGTGATTATTTTCAACGAATGACTTCGTGATTTTTTGAGCATTTTTATTTTAGATCCCCTTTAATCTACAAAATATTATTATCGTACGTGTTGTTTTACATGAATGGAAAAAAGTAAGGGACAAAGAGATTTTTCCTTAAAAGATAATATATATGAATGTATTTTTTCTAAGCTATTCGTGATAAAATTATAATATTTCATAAATTTTCTATATAATCAATAGATTCAAAATGAAATACATGTATTTCGAATTTCATAACCAAAATTCGTGTTTTTCCATGTCTTTAAACAAATTGACAACAATCACAGATTAGTAAACAACAAAATCACACTTACTGTTCAACATATGAACAACTATTTATATAACCGTATTTTAATTGAGTAGGAGAGATGTTTGGCATATTAAATTGTATCATATTCGTATTTATTTGTCAGTATTAAATATAGTATTCAGTACTTAATCAGATTTAACAATAAAACATTTTGCTAAGATTTTCACGTCAGCCCCTGAAATATAAAAGTTGTACTCTGCATATGAGATTGGACTGCCCCGTCTTCATACTGAAGGTTAAAAAAGTTAAAGGTTAAAAAAGTTATGCATGGTATAGTGTTTTTAGTTAATTCAAAGTAACCAATATATCCGTTAGACCCAATGTCTTTTTTTTAATATACAGAGAAATTGTATTGTACAACGCTGGTCACGGTAATAAATCATCGATTTACTTATTAGGATACAGAAAAACATACCCCCCCCCCCAAAAAAAAAAAAATTCCAAAATAATTCACATTTATATAGGCCCGTAGGAAGCAATTCAATTTTGGGGGAACTATTGGAAGATAAATCGGTCACACAATTTAATTTTGCGCACTTCTTCATAAATATATTCTTCAAGAAATTTTTTTCATGGATGTCAAGGGCGTCAAAAATGACCATCGTTCAAAGCATACATTTTAAATTTTGTGCCATTGGCAAATTATTTTCTGCTATAAAGGATACAAAAGTTTAACTTGGAAATGATAATAAATTTTAATAAGTGCCTTCTCTGTTTAATGGTTACTTTGAGGACCGCATCTTTGTTATTACACCGACATCATTGGTACATTTATGAACGTTATTGTGTCATCTAACAAAAAACCAAAACGTCTTTCTTTCATTTTTGAAATGTTTCCATTTCAATCAATTTCTTTATTTTATTTTTGCATCCTTTAAAAAAAAAAAATAAGAAAAAAGAAAAAAAAAGACGTATTCCGTAGTATTGCCTCCTAATGATAGTTCCATCGAAAATGACATTTAATAAACATGTATATTTGATTTGAAAGAAATAGAATTTTTTATTTCATTGTATGATATTTTAAAAATTCTTGCAAATATTATTTCTAAAAGTAAAAATTTCTGTCTTTATTTTTATCCAGTATAAGCATTTTAAATTAAATAAAAATAGAATTTTTGGAGAAAAAAAGAATTCAAATAACTCATGGTCTTGTATTCAAATAGCGTATTCCAATACATCATTTCGACGAATTAGAACAGATTTTCCCCATTTCACTTTTTACTTGCTGCAAAGTATTAGCTCAAGACCAATTTTTGTATGAACGGGGGAAGTCCATGGCCATAGCTTTCCTTATAAAACAGACTCTTCTTTGGAAAGAATTCACCGAAAAAAAACCGCGGAAAATAAACAAGAGGATGCTTCAGTGCCTCACATAATACACCTATTATTATAATACTTTCAAGAATTTGAGTACAAAATATTTTCTGTTCAACTTAATTTTTAACTGGTAATCTAAACAAAAAATAATTTATAAACATCATTTTCATGATAAAAAAAGGAAATTAAAAACGATTGATAATGCGGTGAGAAGAGTGGTATAATAAAATAGGTCGCATTATAAAATTATAAGATATTGTTATACTGTAATAAACATATATGCAGTTGTCAAACATGTATCATAAATATTCTCATTTTTGTTTTTCTTTTCTAAAATCTGTAAAGCAAACAAATTTCAACTGGCTTCTCAGGATAAATACTTACCGTTCGTTTCGAATATAGACAAGAAATTATAAATCTGTTAAAAATTACATGACATCACATATGGTACATTGATATGTTAAAAAATAAAATTATAATTGTTTGTCAAATAGCAGGCACGGAAATTGTATCAAAAAATGAACATCAAGATGTTGTCTAAAATCTTATTAAACCTTTCCCGACTCACAGTTATGTGAATAATTTTAATCTGAAATATTAATTAACAGTTAAATAAAGATATTTTCATTATGCTTACGTATGTTTTAGATATGTCTAAAACATCCATTTAAATATATATATTTATATATATATTCTTTCATTCATTTCCAGTTTTACATCGAAGGTTGAGAATTTTTGATGTAGTTTTTTTTCTCTTTTTTTTTCTTTTTCTTTTGCACCGATTAAAAACTACATTAGATTACTACCCTAATTATTTACTTATCACATATGAATTGGTGTATTTCACGCTATTTACGCACCTGTTCTCTTATATGCGTAAATTTCGCAGGCAAAGACACGGAGAAAACGTCATCGCCACGAATCGTAATCGGCCAGGCGCGGTGGCGATTACGGGTGGCGATACTATCCCTCTAGCGTGACCTTTTCACAGTAGAGTATCAAATGGACATTCTCCAGTCAAGAGTTATCGTCCTTTGCAAAATATTCTTGTCAGCAGTTTCGTAATATGGCAGGGACAATCCATTTAATTCTTAATGGGAGAAATGAAGAAAATATTTTAAATAGAAATAAAAGAAAATAAGATGTTTCAATTAACTTTCACTTTGATCGAATTTGAAAGCCTATATACTAGCTTTAGAACTCTTTTGCTCCAGGAGATACTAAACTGAGTTGTGATGGCGTCCAGCAGGTGAATTTTTCATTGTCTGAAATTAATTGTTTTCCTTTTGCATTGAAACGTAAGAATTCACACGATAAAGAATGACTCTTCTGTGAGCAAAACAGTAAGATTTGTTGTAATATTAATATTCGAAGTTCAGTTAATTATTTTTATTGATACTTTGTAGCACGCACCTTTGTATTCAAGCATTTATCAGGTTGGGCACAGTTCCTTTTTCCAGTAACTGTTACGCTAAAAGGGAATTGTTCATCTTTTCAGTAATAAAGAGCTTTACTGTATACGGGAATTTTCACTCGTTTCCCCTCTTTTCTTGTGTTTGCTCTGAATAAAAGATTAAGTGTGTAATGGATATCGGCCTGGGTAGGTCAGTCGGTAGAGCACCTGACTAGTGATGCAGGGGTCCCGGGTTCGATTCCCGGTCCAGCCATACATTTTCTCCTTTCCTGTTACAGATTTGGTGCCGTTGACCACCCCTGGACTTGCAGGTGAAAGTCCTGCCAGGGGCAAATAAGAACTTGGGTTGTGTCTTCAAGGGCGAGGACAATTTAAGGAGGGAGGAATGTGATGGTTTGGGCCGTGGATATCGGCCTGGGTAGCTCAGTTGATAGAGCACCTGACTAGTGATGCAGGGGTCCCGGGTTCGATTCCCAGTCCAGCCATACATTTTCTCCTTTCCTGTTACAAGTGCAAGAATATTTTCACATCCTCCAAATATTTATAGTCTAATATGTTGACGGTGCGACCGTTAGGGCGAGCGCAGATACCTATATATTCATTTATAATTTACATGTAGATCAGGCTCTTCAAACCGCATGTGACATTTAGTACGTCTAGACTTTGACGTCACATGACGTCGCTTGTAAATAGCATTACCAAAACAAAGTCTGATCAGTGCTAATTTTAATAAAGAAGGTTTTATCTACTGTTTATCTGCTATATATACATCAAATCAAGGTGAGTTTATCTTTTTCTTGGAACTTCTGGTTACTGCAAGAGTGTTTTTTGTGGCGAGATGCAATTTGCAAAGCATTATGGGACCACAGGTTACTGCGGAAAAAAATTCGTTTGGATCAATGTGAAAAGTCGGAATTTTCTCTTCGCCCAGGTGTTGCTTTAAGAGCTCGCAGTGACGCGCTACTCGCTGCGCTCGCTATTAAGTGTATATATGCTTAAAACTACAATATTTATCGCTGCAAAAAGCTGAAAAAGAGTGATGAAATATTTCTACGATATAGATTTCTTAGGGAAGCTTATCTGTGTTAAAATTGTGAGATTGAATATATTCAGCAATTGCCAACTCGTACATGAAATTATTCGATCGTTCTAATTAAATTCTATAATCATTTCTTTCAAAGACATCGTAAAAATAATTTTTAATACCACTGCTTCTTTTACAGATGAAAATAATTAGATGAAATATTAAATTTTAAAAGATAGTCATTCAAAGATGGTTTGAGAATGAATGCCCTTGTAAGATTCCATACTTTTCGTATCATTTATCAACAGAGAAAATATAAGTAGAAGTCGTGGATTACTGCTGCATGTGAGTTTAAATTCCTATGCATGGAAAGGGTAAGATGTCACCTCAACGAAATCAAGCTATGAAATTTTGCGTTTTGAACTAGTAATAATATACTTATAAGGGAAATATTCACATCCGTTGGAAGAATACTCATGATGTCATACAATTAAATTTCATCTTACTCCCATCTGCAGCACTAAAGGACCAAATTTTTTTGTCAGCGAGGTTGGTTTAATAAAGTTTAAACACATCACATCGTATTTTTCATGCACTTTTTATTTGAAACACATATTTGGGGCATTATTTTAAAAATATGATGAAAATTCCTGAATACAGTAATGTTTTTTATTACTGAAAAGAGGAACAATTCTCTTTTAGCGTAACAGTTACTGAAAAAGGGAACTGTGTCCAACCAGTTTATTCAAAATTTGTGGTACATTTCATTTTATTATTCCATTCATGCATAACTCCCATGTATTTAAACAAAATTGTTAATGAAAATGGCAAGAAATATAAGAAAAATGTTAATTTGTTTTGAATTTCGTTCATCATTGTCATTTTTTAATAATATATGTTTGAATATTTATTTGTAGTTAATTACTATGCACTTGCTTGCGATATGAAATGCATTAAACAAACATAAAAACAATCTGTACCCCACCATCCATGTTGAAAAAATGTCACAATCATTTGATCAATACTCAATATACGTTCTGTATTCACCAAAAATTTGTATGGAACATCTGTTTTTGAATATGTTAGGTCTAGTGTGTGAGAGATTAACAGTTGCAAATAACAAACTAGAAGAGTTATTGATTAATTTATTGGAGGAAGACTATTTATCACCATCGTTGGAAAGATGTCATTGTCATCAGAAGTATATACACAGAAATTCAAAGGGTATAACGCATATGGGAGAGGTATAGATAACCCATATGGGGAATTATTTGATATCCTGTTTGGCCATTGTTCTTACTTCCATACTTACAAATGGAATCATGCAAAGTATCATACTTGCTGACTGCAGAATATTAAAATCTGGGTTCACTTGGGGAAAAAAAATCTAAGTGGAATTAAATGTTTTTATTTGTTTTTCTGTGATAATTGTTGTTTGTTGATTATGTACCATTATTTAAATTTTTCTGGTAATTTTTTTTTTAAATATTTAATTCACTCTGGGAGAAAGGCAGCCAGGCAATGAATGAAATTTTCCATACAAAATTAACACTAAAACAGCCAAAGATTCTTTTCAGAAAAAGGGAGCCTATCCCCTCCCCTGTACAGTGGGTTTGATGCCTGAAACTGTTTGTGGTGGGATGGGGATGATGAGACTAATAAATGTTAATGTAAAAGTCAAATATTGTTCAATGTTGGTGGCATATTTGGCACAAAAGTATGACAAAATGTTGCAGTATCCCCCCCCCCCCCCCATCACACACACATTTTTAATGATTGCATTTAACAAATAAACATCACAGAAGTTTTGTAGTATTTCTTGGTATTAACAGTTTAAAAAAAACAAAACAAAACATTGAGCCTTAAGATTTTTTTCCCTTGATGGAAATCATAGTCAGTAACAGTATTTTATGTTATCTGTACATAAACAGTAACAGAATGGCAGTGAAATTATGTCACTTCCATTGATATCAGTCAGTGCTTATTGAGAACAATTCTGATAGGTGGTATGTTCAGTATTGTTCCTCTACAACACTCAAAAACCTAGAAAAACAAGACCAAATCCATAATTTTTTAAGCACTGTCACAAGAGCACTTATCAGTTACAGGTTTATGTAAAATATGAAAAGATACAGATTACCCATGAAGCATACTTGTCTTCTTTAGAATGGAGGAAATTGCCATCAACAAACAACCAGAGAGGAGTGACATAATTTCGAATTGTGAAGATTCACCAAGTATAGAGGAAAAAAAGCAGATGGCCTTGTCAGGAAGTTCCATAAATATTCCTCAAGAAGGTGACAGAGCTTTCAGGGCAATTTCAGAGGGTAAGTTTGGGGAGCATGAAGCAAAAAGAGTCTTTGAGAACAAGGCTGCATCTTTGATGAGCACTGGATTAAGTCAGCTAGGAAGTTACTCTTCAGGAAGTGACTCTGAAGAAGACTCCCAGGCTCCTGCTGAGGCTTGTCAAACAAAAAGTGAGACATCTAATGAGAAGAATTCACAATCAGAAACTGTTTCCCAAAGTTCCGTTACAGTAGGAAAAACAACAGAGCATCAGGAACAGGATTTGAAGGAAAACTTGAATATTCTTGAGAAGGCTATGGAATGTACGAAACAGGGAGAACAAAGTATTGTGCAGCATAAATCACATGAAAGAGAATTATCGGATGTCCAAAATGCACAAGACGGCAAAGTAGAAATATTGCTTGGCACTAATCAAGACAAGACATCGGAGGATTTACAGAGTGTTACCTCCTCATTGTCAGAGAACAGTGACCAGAAGATGATAGATCACGATGTTGTGTCAGAAGAAACTGATGTGTCTGAAAAAATAGGAATGCCATCAGAAAGAAGCCACAGGTCAGAATCAACAGGATTTGAAGTAGAAGAGCCAGTAGATATCCCTACTGGTTTAAGAAAGCCATCTAGAGTGGAGGTTATTGATGAGGAGTCTAATTCAAGCTTTATCAAACTTGACAGTAAAATGAAGGACTCCCCATCAGAATGTGACATTCCACCATCACCTTATGGAGTTTCAGAAATCTCAGAGACACCTGGACCACCATCTCCCACCTCTATTATAAGGTATACATAATAAATGTACATGTAAATACAATTCACATATATATGCATTATGTACATGTTAATACAATTCCTCTTCAATATACTTTTTTAAATATGCCAATATATTTTAAGTAAGCATTGTTTCTTATTCTTTTTCATGATAGTAATGGTGACAGTGTTTCCTTGCAAGCGTTTGACAATTTTGGACCCCCAACTCCCTCATCTGTGGCAGAGAGCTCTTCAATGGGACCCACTCCATCAAAACGGTCCAGATTGGCTGTGTACACACCAAGTCAAGAACAGTAAGATTCTATCATTGTATATAACTAATGTAAAAAAAGGTTGCAGATACCTAATTCCATTTTCACTATGAAGTCTTTATGTTTAAAGCACCTTGCATTAAATATGCATGCTAGCTTCCTTAAAGTTGATAAAGCCTGATTTTAGAGAAATTTATGATCATAATTTTACTTACACTTTCCAAGAAACACAAACAAAAAATTGCAACACTTGATAACAAATATATATTTATATATACATGTATAACGGTATAGGAATTTAAATGCAGGGAATTGCTCATGACCATCACATTTATGATATGCACTTCTCATATCTTGTGTAACTTCTTTTCAGCATTACCGCAAATAAGTTGTTTGAGTACCAGTGGCCGACGGACAGTTCTGGAGAATATTATATGCTACAAGAACAGGTGTGCGAGTACCTAGGGGTCAAGTCATTTAAACGCAAGTACCCAGGTCAGTATAGCATAAACTATCAAAGGGACATTGCCATACTTGCATTGCTGTCTTGTATACTATTTTGAATTTTCCTATTTATTTTAAAAATAACTTCAATGATTTAAACTGAAATAACAATTCTCAATTTTCAATTATAACGATATTCTTCATGACTGAATGACCTAGCTAATACCAAACACCCATGTTTGTAAACATGGGCTCCAGCTCCATTATTATTTATGTTTGTGTTTTACCGGGTATATTAAATTTACTTATACTACACACGTCATTGAACACAGACAAAATTTGCATCATAATTTTGATTTGTTACATTTCTATTCTGACTTTTCTGGTTTATACTTCTAATATGTTTTCTCAAAAATAAATAAAGTCACAGAAATTTAATTCAATTTCCCACTTAAATCAAATGTTTAATGAGGATAAATCATAGTACCTGAAAGTGTAAGGATGTATGACAATCAAACATCAAAAATTTGTAGTTGTTATCATTTTCAGATTAAAGAAGTGTCTAAACTTGCTTCTGTTGGTCAGAAACTCATTGACAACAATAAGTCAAGAAATTTTACCAAAAATTGTGAAGTATAAAAATTTCAACATCATGTCTGTGCCCATTTAAGAGAGGTGAACTATTATAATAACAGAAGAAAGATCATCTTATGATTTAGTACTTTATTTGATACTAATGGAAACTTAGTGAAAGAAAAACAGGTAATAATGCTTGGATACCATGGCATGTTTAGAGTTGTTGGAAAATAATTATATAAAGGAAACATTTTAAACATTCTTATAATTAAATAAGACTTCTTCATGATGGTCATCTAAAATACATGTATTGCTCAGGTCTGGATTAAATAACGTGTTACAATAGATTAATATTATTCTTCACTTCTAAAAAGATACTGTGAAATCACTAATTTTCAATGGGGTCAAATCCTCCCTAACCAATATTTTTTCTTCAAACCTCAAAAAAATATGTGATTTCGAAGTATTATGTATGAAATTAAATAAAATTAAAAATGTTTTGTTTGTTTGTTTGCTTTTTTTTTTTTGGGGGGGGGGGGGGGGGGGGGGGTTTGTTAAGTCATTTTCAAAAATATTGTTTATTCTCCATAAATCTTTTTTTTTTTTTATATTTCTTACACAAAATTCCTATAAATTCTTAATAATAGGGCATTTATGAGCTAAATTTTGAAAGCCAATATAATTTTAGAGAGATTGTAGATCTCTTTTCATGGAAAAACAAATGTTCATGATGTTTTTGCTGTTCAACTCAAGAAAGTCATATATATATATATATATATATATATATATATATATATATAATTTTGATTTCGAATTCTTTATTACGAATGTTTCCTATAATAGGGTACATTCATTACAGATTTTAAAAAAAATAATCTTTTGATAAGGGTAGATGTGGAATTTATATATATATATATTTCTATAACTTCATAATTTATGATCTTTTGCACATTACAATTATTTTTTTTATAATCTGATATTGAATATGAAGGGTACAGTAAAACCATTTTTCCTTCATGTGTGACTTATTTTTGTGAATTAGAGAGGTGAGGAAAATCATGAACATTATCATGGGGAATTATAAAAGCACTTCCTTCAAATAAAATCAAAAATGCCTTTGGAAAGAGGAATCATGACACAGACTAGCCATACATACAAAGAAAGAATAAGTCAAAAAATGGAAAATTGAATAACAGTGGTAGCAATTATACACTCAAAATTGCAATCATTGCACACTGTAGATAAAAAAAAGAAAATTATTCACTGGACACTTTTCTTTTTGTTATTACTGCAGCATGTAAAACATAGTGCCAAATTACAGCTTAATATGATGAACACGACATTAAAACCTGATAATATGGAATTGTCGTTAGGCAAAGACATTTAAAAACTCTGATTTGCAAAGGTATGATAAAAAAAAAACCTCTTACCTTAACCTTCAAAGGTGAACTGTTAGCATTGATGATGGGTACAGGGCAATTTATTGTGTAACAGAGACAAATATTCACATCTATTGGTACCAAAGTTTACAGAAAAAAATATAATAACAGTGATTTGGTATGTACAAAATAAACACAAAATTCATCAAGATTATTTGATAATTAAATCAATTATTTTGACAGCGGAATGAAAAAAATAAGAAAATGGAAATCAATTTTTTTTAATGTTAAAATTGGGCCACCCATTCATTTAATTGCTTGGGAGAAAAGGTTTATTTACATGGCCACAATGTCCTAGTTAAAAATTCACAATGATTTATTTTTCTTTTGTAATGTACGGTGTTATACATCAGTGATGCTTAAGTCTAAAAGATGGACCAGTGATACATAAAACAATCAATTTGATTTCAAAATCTTGTGTAAGGTGAATTCGGTTTAAATACACTTTTTATACATTTCACCCCCCTAAAGGTTTAAATTATAACTGGTATTATATTATTTATTGTATGTAACTTTCACTGTGTGGTATAGAAGCAATCTAAAAAAAATTAGTTCATATGTATTGTTATCTAAAAAGCTGGGAATTTGAGTGAAAATTTAAAAATAAAAAATTATTAGCAGAATTCTTCGAATTTCAAGTTATTCTAGAGACTTTAAAATAAGTTTTATATGTATTAATTGCCACTTTGGCAATAAGTCTAGAGGTTTAGGATTATGAGAGGATTTGAATTCATAAATAATCAAACCAGGACTGATGGTGACATCACAACTATATGGTAGAACTGTCAGTAATGTTTACCTGACACATGAAGTGAATATCATAATTATAAATGGTGCCTGTTTTGGAGGGTAACAGTTGAAATTGACACCCCTCAGAAAACCATTGTCAACTGATGTATCAGAGGAGGTTGACAATGGTTTTCTGAGGAGTGTCAATTTCAACTGTTACCCTCCAAAACAGGCACCATTTATTTTATTATACTGAATGTCTTATTGATTTAGGATGTCAGCAAAAAAAATTCGTCGATCGTCTGTATGTTCACTTCTAGAAAGCTTTCAAACTCCCCACTACTATTTTTCTCAATAAGAAAGCTTCAAAAAAGATTTACCGACCTCTTTATTGTTTGTTTGATACTCAAAGAGTTCTTTATCATCTAAAGTTTGGTTATTTCTGTACTCGCAAGCATGTTTCATCTGTCATTTGTTGTTTTCAAGTAAGCTACATCTGATGCAATCTTTTATTGACATCAAGTTTATTAGGCTTCTTTCAAATGCAAATATTTAAACAAACGTTTGGAGAATTCTATGGTGAACCGTACTTGCACAACTTGCACACATAACAATTTCATTGTGTTACCCGTTGTCAAGTGTGTTGCTAATGCTGAGGGTAACATTACGGATTGTTAAATGCGTCTAAACCAATCAGATTTTAGTACATGTATTTAACATGAAAGTATAATAAAATACAATGTGAATTACAATTTTTATTTCAGTTTTCACTTCAGCCAGTCAGAGTAGGGAATGTTGACCAATGATATGTAATAAAACTGTCTAGTTTAACAAGTTACAACATAGCTCTCCAAAAGAAAATTAAGAATTTTCAAGAAAGATTCTAATTATAAGTTGTTTTATTTTGATATAGTAAAATCATTTACATTCTTTAATTCCTCATAGATTAACATCACTACAGGTGATGTACCAATCTGATCGAGGGAATCATGGCAGGTCTTGCATTAAACTCTTCTATGCACTTCTGGACTTAATTATTTTTTAAAATTTTTATAAATTTAAAGAATTATTAGGGCCAAAGTGCTTTTTTTGTAGGTGGGATTAAGAAATAATTTCCTTGTTGTCGGAATTATTGGAGAATATACCCAGATATTTGAGAGATTTTGTTTGGAAATAAAAAATGATCCCAAAGGATGAGGTTTTTATTTTCCAACGAAATCTCAGAATTGAGGGGTGTATTCTCTGAATTCTGAAGACAAGAAAATTATTGTTGTGAATATTTAAACCTCTGTATACAGAGGAACAGTGAGGCTAGATTTTACATCAACAGAATTGTCTCATGGCATCACAATCGAATGCTACATTATTATGCATTAGAAAAAGTGTGATAAAATCGGAATCCCAAGTAACCTTTTACCCACCAATTTACATCAAAAACAAAAGATGCCTCAAACCTTTACCAGAGAGTCAAAATTCAAGGAAACATGATTTGAATTAAGTAATAATTTATTGAAGATATTTGTGATTTATTGGAGTATAAAGGCTTTGATCTTTGTGATAACTATAATAGTAGAATTATGTCCTACTTATTGTAAACGAACTTTTATTTGCGTGCGAGAAATATTCACGAGTTGCGTGACCTATTTTAACTCGCGAATATTAAACGCTGCGAACCATTTATTTTGCTTTGTATTTATGAAGAATGCTTCCTCAGTCGTGAAAATTAATGGTTGCAGATTCATTTCCGATCGACAAATCGCGAATAAAAGATTATGCGAATAATAGTTGGTAAACAGTAATTGAAAATGATATTTGGTTTGATTGTTTCCAAATAAACAACATTATTTTAACAAGAACTATAATTTTTCATTACCATACAGACTGCATGCATGAAGAAAACATGATTACTTTATTGTGTTAATGAGGTGAGTTTTCATTTTTGTTTAGATTTGTTTCGGAGACAAGTGGACATTAAGGAGAGGGTTTTTCTGATGGAGAAGGGTGTGGTCACAGAGAGTCAAGCTGACCTTGGTGAGAATATAAATTAATGGACTAATCTTGAAACAAACTGAATAGATGTCCAAAGCTAACCTAAGATTTAAATAAATGTAGAGTGGTTATATTTTATACAATGAAGGTAAAATTAAGGCTAAAATGAGGTACATGTATAATAAATTTAAGAGAAAAGAACAAAAACTACCTGACAATGAATAAGCATATTATTAAACAAAGATCATTTACATTAGTATTGTTTTTATGCCCCAGTCAAAGAATAATTGGAAGGGGATACAATATGTTACAGTGAGCTTAAACATAATTTTGGATATCTGAGAGATATCCCAAGAAGAGATTCAAAAAATAGGTTAACTCTTCTTTTTATGAGAAAAATTTGCTCAAATTACAATATGCTGCATATTCTGTTAACAGGATTAAATTTAAAGCTTTAGAACTTGATCTTATTCGATTAGATGCCTATACAGTTGAACTTCGATATCTTGAACACTGATATCTTGAATACCAGGGATATGTCAAAATTATTTGGCAGTCCCAGACACCTTTTTACCCTAATTGATATCTTGAATCATCATATATCTCGAAGTTTAATCTTGGTCCTGTTGACTTTGAGGTAATGAGGTTTGACTGTATATATATTTTATGTCATTTGAATTTGGTTGAATGTTGAGGCATGCTGACACATCTAGTTCCTATAAGAACATAGATAGACCTTTTCTTCAATGTACCCTTGTATATTTTTAAAATCTCGATGAAATTTCAAAACTAAAATATAGTTTTGAAATTCAACTTTTAAATAACTAAACATATCTCTTCAATAGAATTTTTTGATAGAAGAAACAAGTATTTATTTGTTTATGATTTTAACCATTTTCTTATTTGAAAATTTGAAAGCACATTAACTTGCAGTCAGTATTACAGGAGTTTTCTATATATACAGTGTATCATTAAATATGGTTAACAGAGCAGTATTGTTTAAGCAACAAAATGCTGTCTTTTTTGTGTTATATGGATATAACAATTGCAGAAAAAATACATAACCTGCTTTAGTGGTTTATATACTTATGTGATTTTTTCTGCAATGATTGGAACCTCAAATTACACGATAAAGAAAGATATTTTTTAATTCATATCTTTTTAGTTAATGTGTATAAAGTGAGTGAAAGTACAAAAATTATTGTATTTTTGATCTGTACATGTACGTTACATAGATGGAAGAGCCAAGGAAACAGTTAATCTTTAAACCTTAATTATTTCATATTTGGAGTTGTATACAGTTGGCTTTAAAAAACAATGAATCTAACTTGTTTAGAGGTAAATTGCTGTTATTGCTTGAGACGACAGCTATATGATTTTCATAAGGAATAAGAAGAAAATATTCTGTGATGAAATTTTTTAATTTATATTGGTCATCTCCTAACAGTCATAAAACTGTTTGTTAATTACTACTAATTTTTATATATAATTGCTGAAGTGTCGAACTTGTGCCGGCAAAGTTTTTTTTTTTTTTTTTTTTTCAATTACTGATCACTAAGACTTTAAATCATAAATAAAATATATATGATAATAAAAAAACCCAGAATCAATAAAAGTTTGTTTTATATTTTAAAGTCATTATGTGAAATTGATTTTCTAAACAATTACAATTTAAACATTTATTCTGTACTTTAAATGAAATTATTGAAAGTAATTATAATGTCTTTGACTTACATTTTAAACAAATATTTAAAAAAAATCAATCATCCATTCAACTCACCAGTCACCAGGAAATTCATTGTGTTCATTCATACAGTGTCTGATGCCAACCATTTATCTGTGGGTCCAACCTGGTATTTATACCCCACCCATCACAATAGGACATAGGTTATACAGGAAATTAATAGATACTTTGAAATCTAATATTTATCACTAAATATTAATTATCCCAGTAGACCTATCAGGATTTGGACAGAAACTTGTTTGTTTCAAGCTGAGACTGTTTGCAAGTAAAACCACGACTAGAGATTCGATAGCCACATCTGATGGTGGACACACACTATTTCAGGCATTAATTGGGGGAGCCCTTTTTGCACGATATGTGTTCAATATTGAGAATATATTCATTCATTATTTTTTTTAAACTAGATTTCATGACAAGCATTGTTGTTTGAATTTGTTTTTCTTTCCCTGTTTATATTCCTTATATTCACTCCATATAACACATGCAATTTCTGCACTAAGATATTAATCTGGCTATGATAAGTACCTGCACATACAGCAATCTAAATATATATATATATACACAAAATAAAACATGGTTACAATGAATATGTTTATAAAGAATTCACCCTTACATTGAAGTGATTTTCATTCCCCAAAGTATGAAGTTATTGAAAATAACAATTTATGTTTATAATGATCAAATTAAAATTGTGTGTTCATCATTGGCACTTTGCGGCATGCATAAAACTGTTTTACTGTACACTGTCATTAATGTCATTCATGGAAGTTTCCCAAATGATTAAAAAATGCCCATCCAGCTACCACTGTCCCATATGAATTGTTTTGAATTTAGTAATATGCTTACTTATTGATGTCTTAATTCATCTTTATAATAGATATATTTTTTTCGCTTTGGATTAATTACTATCCGCAGATTGCACTGAAATTGTGATTCTGCAGAATTATGACCCTGCACAAAAAAGTATGTTCACAGTAAATGATATAAATGGAAGAAAGATTTTATCTTCTAATGATCATCAATTAAGAGAGAGAGAGAAGAGGTATTAGAAATGTTCACCTGTCCAGGTGTGTGTCATACTCTCTGGTGGGTACACAACTGCTGATTTCACCTGAAACAGACAAGGACAGGTAGAATAGGACACTCAACTTCTGTGTTGTGAAAATAAGAACAGAAGTACTTGTAGATGGACACTGAACATTGTTAATGTTAGACTATCAAATATCATTGTTTTTACACTTTGAGTTTAGAAGCAGTCTTTTACTAATTATCAGCATATCAGATATCAAATGTGATGCTGAAAGTAATTAATTTATAATAGATACCCTACTAGCAAATAATTAATACATTTACCGCTACTTGAAACCTTATACATAATGCTGTTAACAGTTATTTGAGCAATAGATTGCGTACCTTCATTTTTGCTTAAAAATCAGATTACTTGTAAATCATTTCAAAATAGTGAACATGAATTTTGGTAAAATGTAAGCATTTAATTATATGATTTTGTGAATTTTTATTAATTCAATTAATATTATGATTGATCTTTTTTTTTTTTTTGATCATCAAAAGTTTATACAAAGCAAACTAAAGTTGATCACATTTTTATATTCAATTTAGCAGAAGTTTTCTGATTCTAATTGTTATGTATATACAGAAGTTGTAGATCTATAACTGGACCTCAACAATTTTTATTGTTTATGACAGCTGCATTTTTTTTTAATTGACTTATATTGTATTATTGTATTTATTGATGATTGTTTTCCTGAAATTCCAGGGCTTACTGCACTTAAGAGTGATGAAGTATGTGACCTGATGCACAGAGATTATCCCTCTATGTACCAGGTACGGATGGACTGAGAGTTATCCCAGTGGAATTTCTCTTAGTAGGAAATCAGGATTTATTGGGAATGAACTAGAATTATAGCTCAATTTACATTAAAAATAGTATCTGTAACTTAAGCTTCAACCTAGTATCAAGAAGGTAGGATAATGTTGTAGTTTTATTTTTAATGTTTGTTTAAGGTAGTCTTGTCTCAACATACAAATCTGTGTAGGGGAAACACTTGTAATTTTGTGTTTAAAAATCCCATTATGATTCAGATAAAGATCCGTGTTTCAGATGAAACTTATAAATGCTCTAATATTTTGCTATAACTATATATCCCATTTACTAGTATTACTTAGTGGATTAAAGTGTCATAAAGTGATTATAATATTTTTGAATCATCTTTATCTTGAGAGTACTGTATTTTAATGTTTAACTTATAAACAAAATATATACAGAGCTTTCAATTTGAGATATTTTTTAGAAAAAAAGCAAGGAAATGACATTATTTTTCTCCTTGAAAGCTTCTTTTTACTGTAGGAATATGCAGAGGTCTTACATGAACGTCAAAAACAGAAAATCAGCGAAAAACACAAGGAGTATGAAGTGGTAAGAAGATCTGACCATAATGGCATCTACATCAAGCTGTCCTAAAAGCTGGCCCTAAAAAATCCTATTATTTTTTTAGTTTTGCTAAAATTCCTTAAAAAAATTAAATTCAAGGAGAAATCCTAAAAAAAAACCCCCCGAATTTTCCATGTCAATTCATATTTTTAAAAAAATATTTCTACTCTAGTGATTTTTAAAATGCATTCATACAAATTAAATGTCTTAATGTAGTGTACAGTTCTTATTCGTATTATTTAGTGAAGGGCAGTTGACCAATGGATCCATGTATGAACATGCTCTTCCTATACTTAAAGTATTTTTTTGCGAGTTTCTTGGTTGTCAAATATGTGAAAGTAAGTCCACTCAAATGTCTGAAATTGGCCCTCATTTAGTCGTAAAATTCCTAATTTTAGCCCTATTTTTTTCAATTTTATCCCTTAAATTCACCCTTACTTTTTTGTCAAAAAAGTGCTGGACAGCCTGTATCATTAAAAAAATATGAAGTCTTTAGATCCTCTTCCTTTTAATAGAAATGAATTCAGTGTCTACTGAAATAACTTTTTGGCATAGAAGCAGGGGAGCAAAAATACTAAAGGAAAAAGTATATTTAAAATATAATAATATATTTGATAGATATTTCAAGATATATACATACACTGAAGTATTTGCATGTTTGTTAAGCAACCTATTAAATGTATTGGCCATGGGAAATTATTTTTTGACGTAGCTGACTCTAAAGGACGAGAACAGTGGAAGGGGGTGGGATACAGGGTATTGAATATATACACAATATTGTATACATACACTGTATTGTATACATGCATTATATTGTATATTTACACTGAATAGTATACATGCAGTGTGTTGTATAAAGGGACTATATGCTACCAGATATACATGTAAATGTGTACTACTAAGTTTTTGCATTTAGGAATTTTTTTTTTGTTTGAATTAGGAAAAAGTAGTATGGACAACTTGAAAGTTTTTTGAATTAAACAAAAAAAATTTTTTTAAATGAACTAATGCTTTCAAATAAATCAAAATTGAAGATCCAGTATTGCATATATATACAAATAATTAAGTAAGATAAAGACAACTAATTTCCAAAATGAGTTAACAGGGATATACTGGTAGTGATTTAATAGAAATAGCATTAAAACTCCAGTACAAGTCAGAAGATGTAGCTAAAAAATGATAGACAAAAATTTATACATACAAGCATGGTATTGTGTTATAGTCCAGCTTGGTTTTTCTTCTGTGAATTTTTTTTTTCACAATTCCAGTTTCACCTTATGGGAATCAAATAAACGATACAACTGTCACTATGGGTATTTTGCTTCATATGGAATCTGAAAGAATAAGATCTATAGACAATTATTCTTCCTGGAAAACATTTTGAAGTATTGTTGTGAGTTAGGGGTCACCATAATGATGCACTTTCAGAATGTAAAATACAATGATCTCATTCTTTTTATCCACTTCCCCATATCTGGAAAAAAATGTATGAAACATCCTCCTCTTAGACCCACTTCCTAATACTGGGTTTCCCTATCCTGTGTGTGGCCTCTTCTTGTCACTGACTGCCGTAGCGATGCTCGAGTGCATCTACGACATCAATTGTGGTTTTTGAATACCTTGTTAATATATTTGAAAAGGTTTCATTGTCTGATGAAAATTTTTAAAAAAAAAAACTTAACTTCTGTTGATATCATCCCTGGTCTTTTGTATATTGGACATCCTTTGTCTCCACATAAGCTGGCTAAGGCTGACAGTCTGCTGTCAATGGAGATCCCAAGGTTAACAAAGGTGTATTACATCTATATCTAAATACCCAGTTTTACCCTCAGTTTCATCAAACAATTCAAAGATAATATTTGCCAGAGGAATATAGTATCCTTTTTTTGTATTTTATACATGTATGCCTCAGTATAAGAACTATAATTTGTTCAAGATCAAGGTTTATTGAATTAAATTTTGATAGTTCCTTCAAAAAAACTCCCTTTTTTTCACAGCCAAAATTGGAAAAGAGTAAGATGAGTATGTACATCAAGAAAGCCATGAAATCGGCAGCTGAGTGGAATTCTAACTTCCAGAAAGAAAGGCGAGAAGAGAGAAAGGCTTACCTTGACCTTCAAACATTTGTAAGCATACCTTTTGTTTACTTGATTTGTAAGCATACCTTTTGTTTACCTGATTTGTAAGCATGCCTTTTGTTTACCTGAATCAAACATTCAGGGCATCAGATGTCTTACAATGTTATTAATGATTAAAATGACAAGATGTCTTATTACTAACTTTTTGTCTTGAATATACAGTAAAACTTGTTTATAGTGAACATTTATAAAGAGAGTACCTTGGAATTTTTTTGCAATGTAGGGATTTTAATGAAGCAATGTGTTTTTCTTTATCATCAGATAATTCTGATGATATATTTGTCTTTGAATTCTTTTAGTTGGCTTGCTTTCCAGTTTTTAATGACATTTACATTTAGGAGTACATGTATACACGTAGTTTATAATGTTTGTTCAATTCAAGTTGAATGAATTAAATTGATTTACTTATCCAGCCTACATAATTCATAAAGGTGTATAATTAACTGCATTGATATGTATCTTCAGAACATTCACTACCCTAAGGGCCGTTATAAGGTGCTACCCAAAGAGCTGACGAAGCCCAATACCTATCCCATCTCATTAATACCAGGACAATTCCAGAATTACTTTAAGAGGTACAGAGGTCTTCTAAAAAATCAACTCTTTACTCATCTACTTGCCTAAAGCTGTGCTGTATCTTTTTTTTGATTTCTCACCAAAATTTTGATATCATATGCAGAAGTAGTTTAAGTACCGGTAGTTTTCTAATTTATGACAATTTGTTTTTCTTGTAAATGACTTATTTCTACAAGAAACAGATGATTCCCAAACCTCTTGTGTTGTAGTTACTTTTTAGTGCACTATAAAAGATGTAATTGTATAAATACCATTCACCAATGAGACACAATTAATATTCTTAGATATCTGATTACAATTGTTTGAGGAAACATTTTGCGGTAAAAAGTTAAATGTTTGGGACCTCTTTGTACAGCCATTCAGTGATCTGAGTGGGTCAGTATAAAGAGGAAGTGGCAGAAATTATACACAGTCTCTGATTGCTCTTAATGACCTCCTGTTGGAACTCACAGTATGACCCAGTTCAGTGCATGATAAAAGCAGGATTAACTGTCTCTTTTTCAAAAATTATAAGTAGTTTCTGATTACATGTACTTAAACAACTAAGTCCATAAGAACTAAACTCTGTTTATATTTTGAATTGGTAAGTTATTCTTCCTAACAGCTCAGTATTTCCCCATATAATTAATGGTTGATGAATAGCTGTTTTATCTAAAAATCTCAAGTATCTTTCAATGGCATCATTGGAAGAGAGATATTAAAATGACAAAATTCCTTCACAAAGTTAAGAGCATTGATTGGGGAATAACATGAAGCATGTTTATTTAGGAAACAATTCAGGTTAATGATCTAAATGTTACCTTCCTGGAAAAAGAGGATTAAATAAAGTCAACTATCAATGAAGATATGATGCTTTTGACTGAAATGAATTTAGACCATTAAAATGATTCCACTTTTATTTTGCAGGTACTCCCCTGATGAGATTAAGTATTTACCCATGAACACTGCTATGTTTAATCCCCCCAAACAAATGGGGACTACTTTAGCAAACCCCCAAGAGCAAGCAGAGCCAGAGACTGCATCAGAAGAGGATGAAAATGTTAGTCAAGTACTATGTTCACCTTTCCCTTCCTCAGTCATATTCTTTAACTAAAACTTTTAAATATGTGATGTACACCATTATCTATTTCTTATGCTTGCATTTTCATTCATTTTGATCTCCCTTCTTGTTGTCTAATTTATGATTTTTTTTTTTTTTTTGCAATATCTCAACATTGGTGTATATTTTCCATAATTGCAGCCACACCATCAGACCATTCTGTAGATGATTTCATCCTATCATACAACATAGGATGACAATCCATCTCTGAAAATTGATGTTCCCCTTAAATTCTATTCCTTTTTTATCAGTATACAATAGAGATGTCAACAAATAACAAATATTCGAAGATTTGAATATTCATTCATTGAGTTGGTATTTGAAGTCTGTCTGTCTGTCACACTTTGCATTTAGCTCAGTTTCAAAGAAACTATTCAAGATATTTTTTTGTCAAACATTATAAGCTGATACAAGTAAATGATGAGAGCTTTTCAATTGCATCAACATTTTGACTTTGACCTCACTTTTCTTAAATTTGTATTTAGCTCATTTTCAAAGAAACTGTTCAAAATATTTTAGTCAAACTTCATATGCTGATACATATTGATGCTATTCAATGGAATCAGCATTTTTGACCTTGACCTTACTTTTTTCTAAAATATGTGTTTAGCTTAGTTTCCAAGAAACTATTCAAGATATTTTTATTAAATCTTACATGACTATACATATTGATGGGAACTATTCAACTGCTTTAACAATTTTTTATCTTGACCTTTCCTTTGACCTTGACCTCAACTTTCTTAATTTGTGTGTAGATCAGTCTTAAAGAAACTATTCAAGATATTTCTGTAAAACTTCATATGCTAATACATATTAGTAAGAAATGTTCAAATGCATCAAAATTTTGACCTTGATCCTTCTTTTGACCTTGACCTCACTGTTCTTAAATTTGCAATTAGCTCAGTTTTAAAGAAACAATTAAGTCAAAATATTTTTAAGACTTCATATGCTGATACTTTTTGGTGATTGCTATTGAACTACATCAATATTTTTTTACCTTGACTTTCCTTTTGACCTTGACCTCACTGTTCTTTGTCATATTGCAATTGGAATGTTTCAGCTTTGCACGAGCTCTTGCATATGTTGCACAATGTCTCCCATTCATTGCATGCGTTTTAGTGGTTGCATCAAGTCTCCTCAAAATATTGGATATGCACACCATTCACCACGCAATCCAAATTATCTCAATCCAATGCACAAACATTAGTAACGTCTTACAATGTTTTGTGTACTTGCAAGAGTGATGCATGATTTTTAAAGGTAGTAAGATGAGTCACAGCTGTCGATGCATGTGTTTTGCGACCATGCTTCAATTTGCCATGCAAATATTATAAATATACACCATAAATATTATATTTATACACCAATGCGATATCAAACCACCGAAACACTTTGCTGTCATAATAAAACAGTCTATAATTAATTACTCATTCAAAAGGATGTCAGTATTAAGAAGTAATAAGAAAAATTGCAACACTGTGTTTAGAATTGCGTTGCTGATGGGTGTTGCCTAAATGCACTCACAGCATGAGTATTTGTACCATGGAACGCATGATCACACGAGCGCCGCACATCCAAACACACTGGCGCATGTTCAATTGTCAGATCACCTGATCACTTGGTGGATCCTATTGCATTATCTTCCTCATTTTGCATTTAGCTCAGTTCCAAAGTATAAATTCAAGATATTTTTATCAAAACACATACACTGATACCATTGGTGGGAACTGTTAAACTGTGTCATAATTTTGTGACCTTGTCCTTATGACCTTGACCCTATTCTTCTTTTTGGATTTATCTTATTTTCAAAGTTTTTCATCAATCATCATACACATTGATGAGAGTTATTTAACTGTGTCAAAATTTTCTGACCTTGACCTTCCCTTTGATGTTGACCTCACTATTATTTATTTTTTACACATTTTACAAGAAACTCTTCAATATATTTTCATCACATTTCACACACTAATATAAATTTCCTTCCCGATGACTTTAACTTCACTTTATCAAGATATTTAATCAAACTTTATACATGTTGGTTAGAGCAATTAAACCTTAATTGTCATAATTGTCTAATATTAATCTTACTTATGACCATCTCATAACCTTGAACTTTACTTTTGAAGAATTTTTAATCAAACTTCATGCATATTAGTGAGAGCAATTTCAGTTTATCTTTTTTCTTACCTTGACCTCTTCAATGAACTTGACGTCTATATTCCTTCATTTTGCAGTTATTTTGGAATCATTTTAATTAGAGGTGGTCAATGTTCATGGGCAATAAAAAATTTACTGTTTCAAGGAAACATAATTTGGTGGGGAGCCCAGTATAAACAGAAGATTCAATGAACCAATACATTGACAAAGATTGTTCATGGGAATTTAAATGCATGGGTAAGGTTGACTCATGAAATCCACGAACTTTGGTCCCCCTTGAATAATGATGATTCCACAGTGCCAAAGTTTTTAAAAAGTTATTAAGATAGTTTCATCAAACTTTGTGTACTGACACAGATTTGTGAGAGCAGTTAAACTCTTTCATAATTTTCTGAGCTTAACTTTCCTTATGACCTTTAATTCAATTTTGTTATTAGTTTCTCTTATTTAACTTCATAAAGGATTGCTTCATAAAACTCCATACACAGATAAATTTCTATAAGAGCAGTTTAACCATACATACTTATTAAAAGATCATATATTAATTTTCTAACTGTGAGAGAATGAACTTGAAACAATGAGACTTCATTTAGCTGTTTGATGATAGATGGGATGAAACAGTAATTCATGCCATACTATAAAAGACAACAGCTGTACTGAAGTTATCAGTTCTTTCGTCATATTTTACTATTAGTTCATACCAAAGAAGTTATGTACATGTTTTTCATGTTGCAATACAATTGTACCTTGGGCGGGGCATTCATGTCCTATGAACATATTAAATAGTTTAGCTTATGAATTTCTTTAAAATCACATACTTGTGAAAGAAAATTAGAAGAAACTTTAATTTCTTATGTATGTAGGATGTAGGAAAATATGCATATTAAATGTAATGCTACTACATTATGATAATGGTCAAAGGCAATATAACAATTTTACAGTATATAAGAAAGTTAACAATCAGATTGATTTTTTATCATTGCATTTTTTTGGTTTTTAGCATCACCTGTTCGTGGGAAAATGTGTCATCCTTTTTTACCCATATAAATGTGTAGCTTTAAATGTTTTAATCCAATATTGTTTTGCTTATTCAAATCCTTTCTATTTATGGTACTTAAAATTAATATGTTTATTGTTCTCATAACAATTTTCTATATAGAGATAATATACTTCCTTTTCTAAGGTAGTATATTTCCTGTTGTCAACAGCTGGATTTTTGTTCTGCAGGCATCGGGGTCAGATTCGGACTCTGATGATAGCAGTAGTGGTTCAGAGGGGACCAGTGGAGGGGAAGATGGGGAGAAAAAAACAGGTGAAACAAAGGTAGGTCCAGGTGAAATTAAGATCAGATAGTGGTTCTGAGGGGACCAGTGGAGGGGAAGATGGGGAGAAAAAGACAGGTGAAACAAAGGTAGGTCCATGTGAAATCAAAGTCAGTAGCTCTGAGGGGACCAGTGGAGGGGATATATGTAATTTTCAAGAACAACAAAACTACAATTTCTAAACCTGGACGTTAAGCCTCAATTTTGTAGAAATAATTATGTATTTTAAGTTGATGCTTAGATTAAAATTTTATTTATCTACATATTCTTCGGTAGAGAAAAGTACCTTCAAGTTGGTGAGCATTATGGCCCACAAACCTCTTGTGTAAAATTTCTGTCAATGATACATATACATTCAAGCGGTGTTACTGAAAGTGTCCAATATAGAACAGAGTCAGTAAAGATAAGAGTTTATGGACACATACCTGTACCGTGTGGATTAGTGTTTAATTTCATGCTTTTTTCAGGAAGCAGCCCCAGTTGATCCCAGCATTTGTTCTATTTGTAACCAGAGTCAAAATGAAGAGGTCAAAAGTGAAGCTGATCTTGTTGTGTGCTCAGAATGTAGCAAGGGAGGTAAGTGACATTATTAGCAATCACATATATGACCTTTTTTCAGACTGTACAATTCGGACAGAATTTTATATTACACAAATTTTGTTCATCATTATATTCTAAACAGATTGGTCCACGAGGGCTTTACATGTCTTTTTTTACAGGTGATATTAATAGGCCCTTAATCCAGAATCAAACTTTATTATATTATACAGTATTTTCTCTTAATTAGAAGGAATAGATGTACTCATTTTCAATTTATTAGAAATGCAACTGTTATACACACAATTTTATCTTATTATTTTTTTTTAAACATTTTTTTCCCCTCCAAAATTAAAATCATTAATCTTCAGTTTTTATTCTATGGTCACATATCTTTCAAGAAAAGAAAAAAAGATTTATAAAATATCCAACATGGAAAGCCACAGAAATATATCTCATTTGATAAAAACAGAAATTTCTGAGTGAATTCAATTTGATTCTTTGGTAAATTAAATGTATATTCAAAAATGATCTTTAACAATGATAAGCTCTTTTTGTCTTGGACTAGAAGAGCTTTTGCATTGATTAAAATTTCTGTTGTCTGTCAGCTGTATGTTGGTTGGTCTGTCTTTTGTATTTAATTATTTCTATACATTATAAACTATTTGTTTTGAATACTGAGTATAAACATAAAAAATGTAACCACACAAAATAAACAATTTCATATATTGCAGGTTTAAATAAGCGGACTTTTTTAATGAATATTTTTTATTCTAGGACAGTTGTTTAGATCTGACCAATGAGTGGATTTTCATTACAGACAAGTTAATTATTACTTTGTTAATCCAGGATACCCCAGGTATTTAGATCTGACCAATGAGTGGACTTTTGTTACAGACAAGTTATTTCTTTGTAATTCCAGGACACCCCGGCTGTTTAGATTGACATTTAATACAGACAAGTTATTACAGGACACCCAGGCTGTTAAGATCTGACCAGTGAGTGGACTTTTGTTACAGACAAGTTATTTCTTTGTAATTCCAGGACACCCCGGCTGTTTAGATTGACATTTAATACAGACAAGTTATTACTTTGTAATTCCAGGACACCCCGGCTGTTTAGATTGACATTTATTACAGACATGTCATTACCTTGTTATTTCAGGACACCCCGGCTGTTTAGATTGACTTTTGTTACAGACAAGTTATTACTTTGTTATTACAGGACACCCCGGCTGTTTAGATCTGACCAATGAGATGGTGGTGGTCATTAGGACGTACCCCTGGCAGTGTATGGACTGTAAGACGTGTGTGGAGTGTATGGATCCATATGACGAGGTCAGTTAAGTGTAAGACATCTCCCATGTACATAGAATAAGTGAGCAGTTATAGTAGATTTACGTCCCCTGCTGTAATATTCTTCAGTTTATAGATGTAAGACATCTCCCACGTATAGAGAATAAGTGTGCAATAATAGTAGATTTATGTCCTTTGCTGTAATATTCTTCGTTTATAGATGTAAGACATCTCCCACTTTTAGAGAATAAGTGTACAGTAATATTAGTTTACATCCCTTGCTGTAATATTCTTTTGTTTATAGATGTTTGACATCTCCCACGTTTAGGGAATAAATGTGCAATAATTAGGGATGCGCGATTTTATCTGTATACTGGTATATCACAATTTTTTATTGCGTGATACGTATCATGATACGGAGACTAAAATACCGGTATTTGGTACATAACTATAAATTCTGGAAATGATTCATTTATTTGTTCAAACTATTGAATGACAATTACAGGAAGTGTAAAAAATGTTGAAAACAGTTAAACAAGGGCATCAAAACATGCTTTATATTAAATAAATGAAAATTTAAAAGGTAAAGTTATATTTTTTAAAGCATATTTTTAAGAAATATTATGGGAATTCATTTGAAATTATATTAAAAATTGTATGTAAAAATTTCACGATTTATCGTGATATTTTTGGAAAAAAATCGTGATATATCATGATACGAAATTTTTGCCGATACCCATCCCTAGCAGTTATAGTAGAAGTACGTCCCCTACTGTAATATTCTTCATTTATAGATGTTGGACATCTCCTACATATAGAGAATAAGTGTACAGTAATAGTAGATTTATGTCCCCTGCTGCAATATTCCTCAGTTTATAGATCTCCCATATAATTGAAGTGAATTTTGCTGCAAAATAAAATACAGTATATGTACACAAGGTAACATTTTTATTGTAAAAAAGAAAAAATAGATGGAGAAAATATTCTGATAACTGTATATTTTATGATTTAAGGAGTAAAACTGAAAGTCTTGAATCAACCAATGGAAAGGAATTTTTAACCTTTTATTAAAAAAAAATATATATGATCATTATATATAAATACTCATTTTATACTACCACAAGTGTATTATATATTTACCTTATTTATTAGGATATTTATTATAATCTGATATCATAGTAATTAGGAATCTCAAGAGAAGACTTTCAGTATCCATGTTTTGCTCTTTGTCATTATATATGCCTAATTATTCTCTGATTGGCAGGACAAGATGATGTTCTGTGACCTTTGTGACCGGGGTTACCACACCTTTTGTGTGGGGTTAAAGTCCATCCCCACAGGCCACTGGAAATGTAAGAGTTGTAAAGGACCAGAGACCCCTAAACCATCCAGGAACAGCAAAACTCCCAGATCCTCCTCTAAAGGGTAAGAGTCTAAGCCAGAAATATTTCAAAAGAATTATCTTTCCTACTAAATGATTGTAGAGTTTTTAGCCATTCAACCTTATTTACATTATTTAGAGCTTTCTTTCCCTTCATTGTTCATAAAATAGGGTTGTCAAATTGATCAATTTTTAGTAACTGGTTACTTGCTTACTTTTCTGATCAAGTATTCAAATTCTTGGTCAAGATTCAAGAAAAAAATTCAAATTTAAGGTGGTATGGGATACCAAACGAAACTTCTCCTACATATTTATGTACCCAAATTAGAAGGATTTGAAATACCCCCACCTTTCAGTATATTAAAGTGTAATTTTAATAATTTTTTTATTATTTTAATGAGATATGCAAAAACGATTTTTTTTCTTGCATAATTCTTTTTTCATAAGCTTAATATTATAGGCAGGCGTTTGCTAATATAAAGTGTTTATAAAAACAAAAATGACAAGAAATATGTCTTAGTATTTTTTTAATTTTCAACAAAAAATAAGCGTAAAAAACTGGGAAAACTTTATTTCTTGAAAACAGACGGATAACATTTCATGAGAGTCTACAATAAGAATGTTTCTTAATATGTTAGCAAAGTGAAATAAACAAATTGAAAATATGTATATAAATGGAAAATATAAAATGCATTTAAAATTTTTTGAATTAAAAGATCCGAGCGGAAGAGTTATCCTTCTTTATTTTCCAAGGGTTGAAAAAACCTGGGTGCTATTTTAGAAATGATGAGCATTTTTTCCCAAACATAAAAAAATCGCACTTTGTAGTTTTCAACTTTGAGCGGTTTTGAAAACAATGCATGGACAATCGCTTTCCAGGACGTGTCTTGTTCAGAGCAATTGCATTCATCTGAACGTTTTGGGACTATATACAACAGCTAACTGATTTGTGACCAAACAGTTACTTCTTGAATTAAATAACAAAAAAGTCCAGCTCTGGTTAACGTGATAATTGATTGGTGATAATTCAGCACAATGTGAAGTAATCGCACTTATCCATGCCTCACTGCACACAAGGTGCTGTACAGTTACTCAAACAATTGAAATACAGCTTTTGCTTAAAAGTGTTCAAAAGCAGCAATGTTGAAACTACCTTTTACAGGGGTTTGCTTTTTTTAAATGTCCGTTGTACAATTATAAGTAAATTTATATACTTGCGATTTTTTTGTCTGTTTTTACTTAAAATGCCGACTTGTGAGAACTTGCATTGAAATAGGCTTCAGAGTGTTCTTTTCAACGGTGTATCTACAAATTTTGACCCGATAATAAGCACTCATGCAAATCAAAACAATACTTCAAACGGAAATATGTCATAACGTGGAGGTATCCCATACTACCTTAAAACTATAGAATTTAGAAAATTTAAAACAGTTGTTAAAATAGTCGTTTCTCTGGTATTACTTCGCTGTCACTCTGCTTTATATGTTAATGATTAATCATATAAGTTTTCCCTCCCGTGTAAGTAAATTCAGTTTCACAGAGTTGAAATATTTTCAGACTTAAGAAGACAGAATCATTTTTGCTACTTGTACTTACTAATAGAGACTATGCTTTTTGAACTGCGACTTGGTTACACAATGCTGGTTTGATACAGTTCTAGATACACAGTCACTGATCTCTGAAAGTTGTGTGTGCTTAACAAATAAAGATAGCATTTAAGAAATATTATTTAGTTTTATTTTTTTCCAAATACTTGAGTACTGATTATTGTATTTGAAACAGACCTTTCAACGCTCAGTAATTGAGTAACCAGTTACTTGTTGACAACTCTAATACATGTATAGTCATTAAGTCAGCACTCTTAAATGTATGCAGATGGTTATAAATTCTTCTTAATGATAGCACTGGAAGAAAACGAGGAAGACCTCCTCTGAAAGGGAAAGACAAGAAAAAGTCCAAAAAGAAGTCCGAACCAAAAGAAGAAATAGAAGTAGCTGAGGAGGACACTACAGAAACAAAAGAGGGGGAGGATGAGGAGGGGGAGGAGGGGGAGAAGGAGGAGAAGGAGGAGGAGGAAGAAGCTGAGGAGATGGAGACAGAGGAATCTCAGGAGTAGAGGGGACAGGGAGGGAGGGAGGGGGATATGGAGGGACACTTAGGAAGGATACACATAGGGACATTGGTGCATAGTATGGCCTGAGAGAGTTGAAACATTCTTAAGTGTGAACTGGGATTGTTGATAGTGAATTCATGTTGTAAGGATGTGATTATGGAATTAGTGAGAACTGTTGTAATGTCCCAGAGATATTTAGCTGCAGTTCCCTTGAATATTATAAATTGCTAATGTGAATTATATTCAAGGCACAACACTGTGAAAATGCATGGATGCTTGGTGAAATACTGACTGAAGTAAAATTGGACAAGTCAGAAAGAAATGATAAATTTTGTGAAATGGAATGAGTTAAATTACCAGTCTGTGTTCTATGTTGTTGCTGTGGCTTGAATAAAGATATCTAGAACAAATATACCATACTTAATTCAAAAAGTGTTCTTATCTTTCTATTGCAGTCTTGATTTCTATACCCCCAGCTTGAAATTTTGGGATATATATACATGTACAGTGATGGGGGTGTCTGTCTGCCATCCATTGGTTATGCTTTTGGGGTACTCATCTCTTATCCACAACTCCTCCTATACAGTACATGTAATACCACTGAATATATTTTAATGAGACTCTCACAGAATCTTTGTTATATAGTGCCATTGTGTACCTTCTATTTTCATTTTATCAGACACACATTTGGTATTTTCCATAGCTAAACATTCTTTCTCTAATGTTGGGAGTATCCATCTCTTACTTGGAACTCCTCCCATATCACTGAAAAAAATTGAATGAGACTTCACAGAATCTTTATTAATACATAGTGCATCTCCTATTTTATATACTGATGAGACCCGTTGGGCTTTCCCATAGCAAAACACGGACACTGCCATTCTTTGTATAATATAGGGGGTATCCGTCTCTTATCCGCAACTCTATATCATTGAAAAAAAAATTGGTAAGACTTTCTCAGAAACTTAATTATGCATTATGTCTTTTAACCTTTTGATTGGACCATACATGTATTTGAGTTTTCCCATAACAAAGCATGGACTTTGCCCTTGGGAAGGGGGGGGGTCATTTCGTCAGCTCATTGCTCACAAACCTCAAGTGAAATCTATAATTATAGATGCCAAATTACAGTGTGTGCATATATAAGGTTTAACATGATATCACAGTAACAAATGGAGGTTTTGAGATTTTTTTCTGAATATTTGAAATAGTGTTTGTGACAGTTTCATACAACTTGGTGTTGCAGAAAAAATATTAAATAGATACCGTAAAACTGCTTAGCTGTCTTGTAAGCTTGGTATTTTTATTAAAAATGACGTAATATTTCTCGCTGATAAATGCATTATGACATGAATTGTATCATTACTCCCATATCAAGAAAATTCCTTTAAAAATGGACAAAAGTAAAAGCTACTTGCAAAATATTGTATAGAGCACAACTTGTGATCAAAAATGTGCAATTTTATAATGAGAACTGTTTCTGGAGATCATAAAAACGGATACTTGTTTCTGTAATTTTTTTTTATTTACAGTATAATTATAGTATCAACTATCTAACTGTGAATATTACATCCCCCTCCTCGACCCCCCGAATCACTTTCAGAGAAAAAGTGGTAAGGTACATGTATGTAAATGTCTGGCAGAATGTTATTGGATTTTGAATGGCTAAAAATCTATTTCTAAAATTACATCGGAAAAAATATTGCAATGATTTTGAAGGAAAATAAAACGTTAAAAAATTTGATTTAAACCTTGCAATATTTAAACATTGGAATTGAATTTTTAAACCCACTAATTTTTAAAGTTATGCTCTCTCCCCGAAATGAGTATATACTCGTACCCAGTACCACTTCATGGTGTGAGGCGAATTTTCCAGTCGGCGAGTAGCGTTTTGACTCTGTTTAAGGTGATAAAGACAAACATGCCATATATGGTTGTGTAGATAAATTATCGTAGAAGAGAATGGTAATAAATATTTTGTCAGGACATTTTCTCTGAAAGTGTAAGTGACTGTGATTCTGGGGAGGGGAGTACTCCATGTCATTCGGAGTTAGATACCTTGTATTATTATATTATTGGTTAAAAAATTATTACAGAATTATAAAACATGTTTTTATTCTTTATACGTTTAAATTCTTTGTTGGAGGTACTTAAATACACCTGTTTTCTGCAAAATTGAAGAACACTGGAATTTCACTAAGCCTGCTTTCCAATACCTGCAATACCTGGACCCTCTAAAGGAACTTTTTATAGAGAATGAAAGCACGAAGTCTCTATATTGATGTTTGACATGGGATATAGGGTGTTAGCCAGTTAATAGATATACATGTAAGGACACAGCCATTTTATGCATAACGTAAAATGTTATGAAAGTTTAGTTAGAAAAAAAGGAAAGCTTTAATTTTCATTTATTCATTTACGCGGTTATATCAAGTAGACAACCTTTAAAATGTACCTATTATTCACTTTTTGTGTCTCTAGCCAAGAATATTGTCACTGAATCTTTGATTCACAATGGCATTTGCAACCCTTATTCCTAATCTGTTCATTTTTTCTCTCATTTTCCCCCACAACCGTTGTTAATTCCCCTCCTGTCTGAAATTGAGACCATCGAAAATGTCATCCTTACAGTCCCAAGGGTCCTGAGTCTACTCTGTTGGCTGTTGGTCCCATGACAAACTTCATTTGATATTCTACAGGCTGATTACAGCGACCTCTTTCGGGGATATTCAAATCTTGATTGTTTTCTTATCTCTCGACCAATCATATTAAATCTTTCGGACAAACAACCTGAAACACGTGCATTGCAGTGTCAACTGTTTACGTTCTTTTTACGTTTTATAGCAATTTATGAAATCCCCTATTTGATTGGTGCTTCTCATTGAGAGGAGCAAGCCCGTAAAATATAGAATGAAATTTGTCAGAGGTCCAACGGCTACGAGTGGACTCTGGACCCGTGCTGAGTGACGGTGATGATGCGAAAACGTGTATTGCCACTTCATTCAACCCACTGTTGTTTCGTAAGGGAATGTTGGAAATGTTTTGTTGTGGAAGTAGAATATGTTAGCAACACACGGTTAGGAATATTTTGATATGGCAGATTAATTATATGGAGAAATAAATCATGAAACGGCGCAGTTTTTGTGCGCAACAAATATGCACTTTTTTTCAATGGCTGCCGGTACTGTAGCTCTCTGGCCGTCCATCCCAATTTTCTCAGACCAGCGAGCTACATGTATATAATTATCTGCAGCTAGTTCAGATCATTATGAGACGAAAGGAGAGATAACTGCATGTATTTTGTCACAAGCCTACCAAAATGTATTTCGCCAGGACAGATATACCTGTTGGTTCCTTCAACATAGCGCGCGTGCGGTCCCGAACATCTATGGGCATCACAGACCCGTTATTATTCATACCAGATTTTTTCCGGGTAAGCTGAAACAAATTAATGTTAAATTGAATCTATTTTTAAGATGACGTAAAGAGCACCAATGTCATGTGAAGAATATCGGGATTGCAATAAAGTGTTTGATTTTAAATTCTATTCACTTTACATCTACAACTCCTGTGTGGAATTTGGATTTTTTAAAATTGTAATTTCAAGTTCACGATATTATTTAAACAGACCTGTTAGCAGACTCGATTGGATACAGGTACTTGATGTTTTAAAAATTTTCATGATTAAAAAAAATTCTGTACTATATTAAGGTTCGTCACGGTCGCCTTTTTGAAATTTTTCATTTCAACTACTTCGCCTCGAATTTTTTGTCTATAGGGTGTGTTCAAAATTAACGGACATCTTGCCCTAACCCTACTTCCAGTCCTAACCCTAATCCTAACTCTAAACATAACCCCAACAGCTTATAACCCAAAGGCTACATGTAACCCTACGGTGAGGGGAGCCCTGGCCCAAGCCCTGACGCTTACCCCAACCCTGACACCCTAACCTTAACACCAGTCAGCCATAAGCGTCAAGCACTTACTCTAAATATTTTTAAATAGTGTATATATATATATATTTTTGGATTATTAAGTAAATGTTTAAAACGTCAAGTATTTGTGATTGTATATATTGTAATAATTTTTCTTAAAATTTTTGGTCACGTGTGTGTCTAAAGCAACTGAACTAAACAGAATTCGAATCGGTAAACTTTTAACTTATGTCTCAATTCTAAAAGTAAAACATTTTTGGGTATAATTTTGCGATGTTTCTGGCAAATTTTGATTACACAAAGAACGAAAACTTTCACACAAAGTTATCCCTGCTTTGTGGGAAATCGAGAACGAGAGCTGATATGAAACAATGTGCTATACAGGCAACAATGTCGTACAATACCTTGTCCCATTGCATTTAGCGGAATTTCAAAATTTACAACAACAACAAAAAACTTTAGCACCATTTTCATGAATATTTTATTGCAATTCATGTTCATTGTCTTTTGTACAGATTGAAAGTAAAAACACGCATCACAAATTCATTTTTTAGTGACAGAGAAGTGTAGCACCACTGTACGCGAAATAAATATTAGCGAAGTTCTGTATTGAGGTAGATTGTCCTATACAATAAATACATGAAGATTTGACAAATTATCGCTTTACCGAATCCCGCACAATCAAAACCGTCGAATGCAGAATTTGTAGTTAGTGATAATTTTCCTACCTACAGCTGTTCGTAAGTAGAGTCATTGGAGGAAGATGTTGAAAGATTATGATTGTTCCATGGAAGGGAGGAAGCGGGTGAAATTGACGAATAATACGGATTACTCAAATGTGCAGGAGTGATCTGGTGAAATGACGACGGTTCGGAACAGAATATGGGTGGAAAGTGGCCAAAATGTCTGTAGGGTTCCGAATGCCGTAATGTGGAAAGCATAAACCCAGGCTCAGCTAAAAAATGGTAGGGGTGAATGTAACCATAGGGATTGGAGTATGGTGATGGAAAATGTGGGTGGTTTGGGGAGAATTCGCCGCGTCGCTCTCGATCGATTGGATTGTTTGGGTTTCTGCATGGAATACTGCGTACATCACCCGGTTCTTTTCTTTGTTCAGCACTTGCAGTCAGTAAGTCAGACAATACTGGTAAATCACATCCAAGGGCACCTGTCGGTAGCCCGAGAGTGTTCGACATATATGCTCGTGTTGGACTTCGCAGCATGGCGGCACTACCCATTGATTGAAAGTCAAATATATTTGGCGCGGTTTTTGACAAATCTCTAGGAGATTCAAAAGCTGAGGATTTTGAGCAATGTGAGAATTTGCTAACATGTTTTTGTCCTCTAGCGGAAGGCACAACTTGGTTTGGAGGGTTGATGATGTCGAAGCCGCCTTGTAACAAAGCATTTGCAAGACTGGCCTTTAGCTCTTTCTTCTTAACGGTTTTAGACTTCTTTTTCGTTTTCTTTTTCGGTTTTAGCGCATCTTTTTCAAATCTGTTCAATTCGGCTATGATACTTTTGAGCACAACTGTTGGAACCATTGATTTGTCTTGTTCATCAGTAGTACTTCCGGTGTCACTAACTCCTGAGTCACTGTCGCCATTATGGACTTTATCACTGTGGTCACTTTTGTCACTTTCACCACTTTTGCTGTCTGGACTTTCGTGTTCTTCGGTCTTTGACTTTTCTTCTTGTTTACCAACAACGTCTTTCCGTCTTCTATTTTGAAACCATATCTAAAAAAAGTATTTTTATTTTGTCATTCGTCAATTCGATGATATACTTATCTGTTAAGGATCAATGATACTCTGATAAGAGAGATAACTCTTAATTGGGTAAATGTATATTATTATTTTTATAAATTTGTCAAGTTTAAATGCCTATTTGTCCAATTTTGCCCCGCAAGCTATGCTAAAATTGGATGCATTTTACTTATAAAATATCTTTCTTTTGGAAAATCATGAGCGTTAGAGAAACATTTCACTTTCAAAAGTGAACAGAGGGTTTATGAACCTTACTTTGTTTTTAAAACTGATTGATGATCTATACTGCATTTTCCTCTTGGAAGATTTATTTTTATAAATTTATTTTTCGAAAACTTGCAAAAGTTTTCATAATTTAAGAAAAGAGATTTTTTTCACCTCGACTTACAAGTGATAATAGGTCGTGAATGCTTCCTTTTACATCAGTGAATTATTACTTACTTTAACCTGTTCTCTCGTGATACCAACACGTTTTGCGATCAGCTGTTTTTGGGTGCTGTTGGGATACCTCACGTGATTATAGATGCAGTTCAGTAGTTCTAATTGATAACGGGTGTAGCTCAAGCGCTCACGGGGCGGGGGTGGCGTAAAAGGGCGATACTCTGGAAAGAAATTTTTGTGTACAGTACATTTCTAAAATTGAAAGATAGTAGAGAAGATATGTATTTTTTAATTATAAGTATATATATTTTTTGCCAAGCATGTACGTCATGTTCTGACGTAGGATATCCTGTCTCTTAACTTTACTGCTTAAACAAACTGATGAGTAAAAAGATTACTTTTTTTTATTTTACTTATATTCTTTTAAATAAATTATCTTTTTGTGCTGTGCATTTATTTATACAACTACTGACCTATACGTAAAAAAAAAATGTTTATAGCACTCAAAAAATTGGATTTCTTGAATCTTTTATACATATAACAAATGACATTGTGTTTCGGGTGATGATACCCCAGCATGTGTTAATTGGTGTGAAAACTAGTCTTCTTTGAGCAAATAGGTTATGCAATTGCGTATTTTTCAATTAATCATTTTATATTGTGTGTTTTCTTGTCGGTGACTTTATCAATATATCAAAAGTCTCTACACTTATTTTCAGTGGATAAATGTCTTTATTTGATATAGCAAGTAGATTATTTACCATCATCTTCGTCCTCTTCCGCTGATTGGCTACCCGTATCAGGTGACCTTGATGGTCTCTCTTCTTCATGCTCTTGTAACCATGGTTGTCCTTGGTTCAGAGGAAGAAAAGGATGATGGGAAACCGGATGTACTGTTGCATCATTTGTGCCTGGGTAGATAATCTGAGGTGGTTGAGCAAATCCTGAAAAAAACCCAATGATCATTAGAATTCTAAATGTTTTAGCCTTTGTTCTGGAATAAGTGCAGTTAGTTTAAATTAACACCTGTCAAATAAGTAATCTTAACTTATTGGTTAAAGACTCTGGTGAATTAGTGTTAATTTTCCTTTACCGTACAAGAACAATACTTTACATTTTACGGTTTAATTTAATTTGTCCCAATGCAATCTTTTCATATCGTTCACATTACAGGTAACTATGAAAAAATAAAATATTTAGAACAAAAGAATTTCGACGCAAATAAAAATGGTTCAATTATGCAATAAATTAAAGAGTATATGCTGTGCGTCGAGACATAAGAAACAGAATTTATACAAATTAAAAATACATGTATATGTCATTTAGATAATAAATACATTAATTATTTTAAATTTTATTTAAAAATGATTTTGTAAACTAGTTTATATATAATTTAAGGACAAACTTTTATCAAAATTCTTGAAAATCATGTTTAAATAAGTAAAATGAATAAGATAAACCATATAGATTTTAATTTTTCATTCAAAGTTTCAAAATAATGCGATTTAAAGTGACAGAAAGTTGTATAGATTAATAAGGATGGTTACAGAACGGTAGAATTTTGAACATCATAGTAAGTTTACAATTTCTTGTTATTTAAGAAAATTATTATTCGCATCATATACAACCAAAATAGGTTCAAAAATATATAGCAATTCAGGCATCCATTTTTCATAATTTATTTATTTGTTTTTTGTATCATTTTTCCTTTTTATAGTAATTTTTTCATCGAAAATAAATATGAATTAAAAGTTAGATGTTTTGATAAAACTTAATTATTAAACACTGTACAATTGAACGGCTGCATAATTCGGAAACTCTAGCCCTTATTTTCATCCTATAATCTGTAACAAAAATCCTGACACTTCTAGTGGGTTCCTGAGTTATGTGTAAAATAGCTTCTTTATCCTTCTGAGATTAAAACTACACAAACAAATAATGTGTTGTACCCAGCTCAAGGTTTACAAAAACAATCAAATGTTAGCAGATTCATGAATTACAAATGCTGCTGATTTCGAACATTTTATTTTGGAGATAATGATTTTTTTTTTTTTTTTTTTTGTTGAGCACAAACTTTAGTTTCATTAATACAATGCTGTTGAAAAATATATTTATAATATTGTTAATAACATTGTGGGTATTTACAAGTAAATTTATTTATTTATTTTTACAATTAACTTATCTTTGACATCTTTCTCTTAAAGGTAGCATCATCATTAGCAATTTTTATTAAAATGCTTACCTGTGTTAGAAAAATTTCTTCTGAATCCTTCCACTTCCAGCATTTTGAAGACTTTGCATTCAAACTAATCACAATCATACAGGGAACTTATCTATCACATAATGTTACAACTGGCAATTATTTAAGAAAGTTTATTACACGACCGAAGATCCAACAGAGTTCAAAATTGTCCAAAATTAACTGTCCAGGCGGTAGAGGGGGAACACGCGTGTCAAATCTACCTGTCACACCTTAATGATATACACAAGGCAATATCCTACATCAACAACAAAAAATAAACTGGCGGTTTTTGTTGATGACAGAATTATGACAAAAATCAGTGACAATCCCTTTGTGGGTCCCTTATCCTCTTTTTGGAACAGAAACCACGCTAAGTCGATTTTGACAGGGGTCTATCCAAAGCACTGCAAATCTTATCTCAAGAGAAAACTTCAAGATATGAGAAAAACTTGTAGATAACTTCCGTTCGGCTTATTGGACACAAGTATGTGCCATAATCAAGCCCACTTCTTATTAACCCTCTTATATATTTTTGAGAGACCCAATCAAAAACTGATCCTTGAATATAATTGTATCTAGATTGCTAATACGTTAACGGGTCATTTTTCCGCTTGTTCTATCAACACACCTATTGTGGCCATTGTTCGTATTAATCCCCTGAAGAAAGAAAGCCCAGCACTTTCCAACCAGTTAACTCATTATAAGAACAAAGTTTTTACATGGTCTTTGCAGCAGTCTAAATTCCACTTACTATATTTGTGATTCTAGCCCAGGGGCTTTTATTATATTATTTTTGGTTATTCTTGGGAAGAGAAAATGGACTTGAGGCATGAGATTCGACAGTTCATGATGATCACCTATTTTACACCTGTGCACGGCAGTTGATTGTTAGTTTCACCGCAGGGTCCTGGAATCGCGTGCTGGGTGTAAAATTACACTGACTATTTCAGCACGCGGATACCAGTGTTTTGACAAATCATTACAACTAATTATCGATGTCATAAATGTTTATTTTACTAATGAACTTTTGCCACTTCATGATAAAGATCAAGAAACTTCAAAAAAAAATGTAGAAGTACTGGTCTGAAGTTATGTAAAATTTCTTTTCCGGTCCAATTAAATGAATTGTTATTTACAAATATATAATAAAGACAGGAGAAAAAAATTCAAAATTCCAAGAAACCTATAATACAATTTAATTTTAAACAATTTCCTTTAATCTTAAAAATTATTTTTTCCACAAAAATGAATGGAATTGGGCAGCCTATTTTAGCCCTCTCATCACACACATGTAATTCAATTAAGCATTTTAAAAACTTGTGGTGGCCCCTACAGGTACATTATATATATTGATTTTGTAATTAGACAATTGTTTGCCATTTTTTGTAATTTATTAAAAAAAAATCTAATTATACATGTACACACTAATAACTAAAGAATATATACTTGAAACTGAAAATCAGACAAATCCTGGAATATAAACTTACAACTTCAGTTTGTAAACATACAAAGATCGAATTATTAATGCAGTTTAGTTGTTATTTGGTTTTTAACAGGCATTCTTTGTACCAATACAGCAGATTATTTTATTTATCTCGTCATTTTCAGAATACTTGGTGAATTGTCACGGATCGAAAAAGATAAAGTTATCTGTAATCCCACAGCATGGATATAAACAGGCGGATATAAAACACTTAGTCCTCTAACCGATTATAGTCCCCCCATTCATTACAAACTCAACACAATTAACTACTCCAAATTGGGGACCGTAAATTGTTTTAGTGCATAGAAACTACGATTTATGATCTAATTATCACCGGAATCGGGTCATAAAGTCGGGAGAGGGGGTATTTTGCAATGAAATTATCATGGAAAATGTGTATATCTAAATTTTTTGAATGAATACCTGCAGAAAAATACACATACAAAAAAAAGTATGCTAAGTATTTGAGGTACATTCATCCAAAGAATACGCCTCCTTGTGTAAATGAAATCTAGTACACGGAATTCTTAGCAACAATAAACACAATCAAGAAGTTCCGAGGTGCATTATATTATGGTTGGTTTCGACTTATAGTAGAGATTACAGTTAACAGAGGTGCAAAGAATCCTTTTGTTTTATTTTCTACTGATCCAATGATTATCACATTTGCTACAAAAATTTACTTTTTAGTAAGACCATTTAATACACAGATATAATGAATGCTTTCAGCAAACAAACAAAGATATTTATTGCGCAATCAAATTTTATCATCAAACACCCCCCCCCCCTCAATTGCAATAATGCTACCCAGATGAAAAAAAGTGAATGCTGCTGTAACTTAGGCAACATTGATGAAATATTCCAGAGCCTTTCCATGCTGTCAGGTTATATATCCTGCTGATGATGTAAATTATATGCGTGGAAATACACGAAAAAATTAACCAGAATCTCTTGAAAGCTAAATGATGTTTCGACTAACCGCCCCCCTCCAACCGTAACCCCCCCCCCCCCGATATGGAACATTTTTCTCCATATGCGCCGGTTTTACTGGCTGAAACGTTATGTCGGTTTAAGAAAAGGAATTCTTTTATGCATTATTTAATTAAAACTTTTAAGATGCACATGTTTACGAAATATTAAAGCAACTATAAGTATACTTAAAAATATCTTAAGAACAATAAATTTGTAAGAATTAAAAATAACCCGTCATTGAATAAAGAATGAATTTACCGATTTTACTGTCTTCCCACAATTTTTTTTTATTAAAATAGAAAATTTGGTGTTATGACTAAAGGGGGGAAAAGTCATAACACCAAATTTTCTATTTTAATAAAAATTTTGGGGGAGACAGTACACTGCACGAAAAAATAAAAATAAAAAGCTCCTTTTGAACGAGCATGCCTGTATTAAAGGGACCCTAGAAAATATGCATTCCAAGTACATGTATTTACACACAGTAAATGTACAAGTACATATGCTTTTAGTCTAATTTAAAAACTTGAAATAAAACATATTAGTAAAATATATTAAATTTTGCATTTTTTCTCCCGAACTGGTAAACCCTATTCAGTATACACATTGCACTCATTTATCATATGTTAAAAATTTTTACAAATGCGTCTGATTTAACATCAAAATATTGTCTTCCCACAATTTTTTGTTAAAATATAAAATTTGGTGTTATGACTATAATAGTCAAAACATCAAATTTTATATTTTGATAAAAAAAATTGTAGGAAGACAATATGCTCCATTTCCAATGACGAAAAACATGCTTCAAAATGTACACAGAATATGTATACACGAAGAGTAGAATACTGCAGTGTGATTATATAGAATGTTCAGAGCTATTGGATTATTTTTTATCTTTTTACAATTATTCAAAGGGAGGTCAACATTACCGCTACATTGCGAAAATTTCAACTCATTACCGCTACATTTCTTCGAAATTTCGGGTGATCATTACCGCTACATTTTATCAATAAGACTATTGCCGATTACAACTCATAACCGCTACATATCGAATCAGCCAGCAATGACACGGAATATAAGTTCTATTCATTATAATTCATATATTTCCAGAAAGCAGTACGTCAAGCAAATGGTCTTCAAAGCTCTTCCAATTATTTAAGACTGTGTGTTTTATCCACGAACGATGCTCGGTTTTAACACTTTCTAAAATGTTTTATTAAATAAAATAGATTTTAAATAAAAAATTGGAAACAAAAACATTCTGCTTACTTTACTTTCACCTCCCCGTGATGAGCAGGGGAAACAGGTCTTATGGATGTACATGTAGTTTAAACCAATCTGTACATGCATAAACCGCTGACGAAAGAGGCGATGTAGAGGTAATGTATACTTTTAAATGTAGCGGTAATGTAACCTTTTGTGTAGCGGTAATGCGTATGTAGCGGTAATGACAATTTTGAAAATGTAGTGGTTATGATACGCACCCTATTCAAAATTGATGGAATGTGTAAAGGAATCTCATGAACAGACGATTCTTCCGCTGTGAGTAGTGTATAAAATTCGGCGATACAATTAAGGAGATAATCGATTAGTTTTTTAAGTTTGCAGAATGTCCTATGTATTGATGACACATATTTTCGAAATGGTAAAAATGTATGGCATGTCAAACGTTGCAATATTCGATCTTTTGCATTTGCATTGTATAATTTTCCATTTGCATTGTATAATTTTTATTTGTATTGTATAATTTTCTATTTGTATTGTATAATTTTTCATTTGTATTGTGTAATTTTTATTTGTATTCTATAATTTTCTATTTGTATTGTATAATTTTCATTTGTATTGTATAATTTTTATTTGTATTGTATAATTTTCCATTTGCATTGTATAATTTCTTATTTGTATTGTAAAATTTCTTATTTGTATGCGATAATTTTTCATTTGTATTGTATCCGCGGACTGTTTATTTGTTTCGTTACGAAGGATTTCATTGGTCAAGTTTCAGCCTGTATCGGGTTGAAGATGTTCCGGATGCTCAAAGCAAACTGGGCTCATATGTATTTGCTTGCTTGATTGATTGATTATTGTTTAGCGCCGAGTCGGCAATATTTCAGCCATATTTCGGCGGCATATGTATTTGCGTGCATGTTAGACGGTCATTGGATTCTAAAAAGGGAGCGCTGGTAGATGGCAAATAAATAATCTGTCCTTAGGAATGCTGACTGAGAAAATACATAAATTGACCTTGAGTGGTGGTAACTACCCCCACCCCCAAAAAACTGAGTTTTCGGGTTTGGGCGGATTTTCTTCTTTTTGTTTTTCTCCTTGTCTCTGGTCATATTGGAAATAAATATTCTCTCCTGCGAGAGAATGAAAATAAATAATCGGATTCGACACCCCCCGAGAATCAAATGGTCGTCCCTTAGCATGCACCGCAAATAGAGGAGCCGAGTTTGTGTTTGTAGAGAGTGCGCGATCGGAATTGTGGGAAGGGTACCAGACTAAGTTTGTGATGGGCACCTGAGACTTTTATACAGACTAAATTTTATGACCAATGACATCCTTCGTAACGAAATAAATAAACAATCCTCGGATACAATACAAATGAAAAATTATCGCATACAAATAAGAAATTATACAATACAAATAAGAAATTATACAATGCAAATGGAAAATATAGAATACAAATGAAAAATTATACAATACAAATGATTTTTTTTACAACACAAATGGAAAATATAGAATACAAATAAACATTATACAATCCAAATGGAAAATTATAAAATCCAAATGGAAAATTATAGAATACAAATAAAAATTATACAATACAAATTGAAAATTATACAATACAAATGAAAAATTATACAATACAAATGAAAAATTATACAATACAAATAAAAATTATACAATACAAATGGAAAGTTATACAATACAAATGGAAAAGATCGAATATTGCAACGTTTGACATGCCATAAAAATGCGACGCGAATCAACATATTGAAAATAACCAAAGAGCTTAATACATTCAAAATCTGTCCAACGATAGTTATGTACGTGTACTAACGATGCTAATCCAAA